ACACACATATTTTTTTTTTTTCATACCAGTGACTGAACTCCGGTGCTTATGCTCGTGAGGCAGGCAGCAGAACCACTGAGCTAAATCCCCAGCCCAAAAGGAGTAGATTTTTAGGTATTTAAATTACACCAAAATAAAGGTTTTGGGTACTAAGCCTGTATTCAATTTGTCAACCTCCCCTTGCCACTGCAATGTGCACCGTTCCATATGTGGGGTTCTGATGGCCTCCACGACCCAGCACAGTGCTTCCCAGCTATCTACAGGGCACTTATGCCACAGTATAGACAAGAGGTCAACCAAGACTTGGGTTTGTCAGTCACCACAGCTTCTTCTAGTGCATCAGCACAGCACTGGTTCCAAAGACAGCATTAACCCATAGTAAGTCACTTTCTAAGAAAGCAATGTCTTCCATGTACTATACGGGTGGTAATCTGCCATGACACAGAAAGACAAAAATCACACTAAAGAGAATTATGAAAAAAAATACAAAGCACTATGCTGCTGAAGAACAACTCTGCACTGGAAAGACTTCTTGAGACTTAAAATGATCCTTTAGCCCCGTGTGAGGCAGGAAAGGGCTGAGAAAGGCAATTTTCTGGCAGCCACTTCAGATGTGACTTAAGGTCTTTTTAAAAATTAAAAATCTCTCTGAAGGTGAAACCAGGTGTCACCAAAAACAATGGATGAGAACCCTCCTCCCAGGAAAATGGGAGCAAGACCTAACTGAGGCAGATTCCCTATTCTCAAGATAGGGAGGCTCGAACTTTGGGATTTCAGTATTGCCACACTTCCATGTTGTTTCCCCACTTCCTTTTACACTGAGATTGAGTTTTAGTGGTTATCCTACCTCAGTTCAACCAGTACATATGATTTTGCACAGAAGACAAACAATTTTTAATTCATAATATCCATAGGAATTTGGAGCCACATTTGGATGTGAAATAAGATACAAGGCATGGTGCAGAAGGGATTGGGGGTTACAGTTGTTGGGACACAGTATTCTGTGTGCAGGAAGGAAAGTGAACCAGGCATCTGGTAACCTGAAAGGCAGTCATCAGTGCCATTATCAGCTATTTCTGGTACTTCCCCCCAACACATGTGGCACACTTCCATGCCCAGGAGAAGTTAGATAAAACTGATTTGAGTGGACAGGAAACGTGTTTTTAAGACCCACATTGAGTACCATGTTCCCTTCCTCCTGCCATCCCAGACAGGTGGATGCTCTGGTAGTCAGCACCAGGATGAGGACAAGTGGAGCTGATCCCTCACTGGCCTGACGTAGAGATGGTCTAACAAATAAGCCTCCGTTACTGTGAGCCACTAGCAGAAGTTCAGCTGCCAAGGACATGCTGTAGGTGTACCAAAAGACAGATGCAGAAGAAATGCTCCCTAGGTCTCAAAAGATTTTCCATTATGTACTGAGATACTTCCAGGAATCTCCCACTTTCTTGCACCTTGACTCCACAAGACACCCTTCATCTATTCGGCAAATACCCTCCAAGTTTTTGCTGTTTAGAAAAGCTCAAACTGAGTATTTTCAACCTAAAAAGTTGTAACTAATATATGTACAGATCTATCAAGCGCTCTATACCAAAGAACAAGGCAAAGACAGGTAAGGAAAGACGGGGACACACTGAGGGAACCAAGGCAGATCTGGGCCAAATGGAGATTCAGGCCGCGTTCACCACATCCACTTCCTCTGCCCACAGCCCACAACTAGACTGTCTTTCTCTTCCTCTTCTGTCGTTTGTGAATCAGATCACTAAATTCTAACCAAGGGGGCTGGATAGGAAACCACAACCCGGGGGTTTAGATTAGCTCATTGTGGTTCTTGCATACCTTTTCTTTCGATCATCTTGGAGCTAAATGAGGTAGGAGAACTGCCCTCATTTTACAGAGGGGTAAGGCACAGCTCACAGAAGGCAAGCAATCATATGCTGTGATCTAGCCCACTTTAGTCTTAAATATGGACTTCTTGATTCCCAAAGACTAGTACTGTACTTTGTCTACTATGCTACATAAATGCTGAAGATTCCTCCAGCTGGACATACTGGTAGCTAATTTAAATAGATTATAAAGTGATGAATGGGACAAATGTACAATCCCATTTACCTCTTCATGCTCAGGGCTCAGCCAATAACATAGCACAAAGAAGACCTCTCATAATTTTCTGCTAAGTTGAGGCAGGAAGTCTTAGCAACAAACAAAAATTTAAGTTCATACCACATGAAAAAAACCAGCAGAAAAGATGTTGCACACAGCTTTTACATGTAGACCAACTGGAGTAGGCTGTGATTCCATCAAATGTCATTTATTTAAATAACAATTCAACTAGAGTTGTAGGTAAACTGGTTATAGCAATATGAAAATACAGAAACCTGAAAAAAATCTTGGCAATTTAAACATATATTTAACAATGCAATGTATTCTGTACTAGGAGGAAATGAAATATAAAACATGTTGACTTTCAAATTGGGATGATTTATTTGCACTTAAAATACAATTTCTAAGAAGACATCTGTTTTCAAAAACAAATTACAAAAATAGACTACAGGAATTGCTATATTAATGGTGAAAATTTAGATCTCATATCACTATGAACTTACAAGTCATAGATCATAACATTAACACAAAGTCAGAAAGAAAACAGTCATTTGGAAACATAATTTTTATATTAAAAATATTAGAAGTTCACAGTTTTCTTCTTTCCTCTTGATTTGTATTGATTAGATGCTTTTATGCCTACAATCTATTTCACTGTGTGGTACCATAAACAATGCCTATGCGATCGGCAGATGGATGTTCCTAACACATTCATTCTACATAGAACTCACACATCTTCCATTTCTAAAAACGTTTTTGCTCTGTAAAATTGTGACCACTGAGAATGAGAATCTCAATGTAGTGAGGAAAGAGGAAGACACTGACAAATCTTACTATCAGGATGGTGAAGGTACATACAAGTGTGCCTAATGACACAACAGGAAACTGCAAACTCAGAAAACATGATGGCTTCAATTCAATTCAAAACTCAATTTTTGTTTAATCCAAACAAAAGTGAAAAACAAATGTTATCAAACGATTTCAAAATCCTCCTACATGTAATATTAGGGGCTTTGAGGTGGCTACATCACAAGACAGGTTTATTCCCTATTTTTGAGATAAAACAAAATTTTCCAAGTGAAATACCTACAAAACAAATTTGCTTTGGAAATAAATTTCAGTAATAAAATAATAATTCTCACCTATTAAATATATAGATTTGCCTTCATATATAATTTAGCAAATTGCATCAAAAATTTAACTGTTCTATGAATATTTGCAAATAGACATTTTAAAACATTAATATATAAATGAGTCAGCTGATATTCATTCAGGTGTTTACGCTAAGTCAACAAGGGGAAAAATTAAAAATAAATTACAGAATTTCTACAATATGAGAATGCAACATATTGTTGAGAATTAAATAATTTTTCTGGACAGCACATATCAGTGAAATACATGTGTTCTCCTTCTGCAAATCTTGGTTAAATAGAACCAAGAGTTCTGCTTTCTTAAGCCATTAAATCATAACAACAACCTAAGATTTAAAATATTTATCATAATCTCTCTTTGCATGTAAATTTTTTAAAAGAAAAAACAATCATTCTATAGAAAGCAACTGTTCACCATGAAGAATAAATTACTTTGGGTAAAAAAATAACATTGAAAATTATTTAATATCATTTACTACACTATCTTCCAAATTGTTACTTGGACACTTGGCTCCATTAAAGATATGAATGAATTAAAATGTATAGTGCCCAAGGCAGAAAGTGTCTTGCCTTCAAATTTCAAAATAATGCAATTCTTTTAAAAATTAAATAGTAATTTTTTTAATGTGTCCATTTCTACAATTTCTCTGGCTATCAGTTCTGTTACACTAAGAGCAACTTTTTTTCTCTTTTTTCCCCCCAAATGGTACTCAACAGACTACCAGTAATTAAAACCAATTTAAGGACCAACAAAACAAAAGCTCACAGTGGGATATGCCAGAATCCCATAAATCCTGGATTACCATGTAAGGTGTATTCTATGTTAATATTCAACAGTTTTACATAATAAAATTTGATATTAATGTACCTTGATTTTTCCTACTAAATATGCAATTTGTGGGCATTCTTTTTAGTTAAATATAGTGAGGCTCCTGCTTTGATTTTTATAGGCAAAGTCCAGTTACACTGCTACTAGGCTGAACACATGTCACAGGTACATAGCAAACAGGAGGGAACCCCATTTAAACTTCCTCAGAAGCTAGATCCATATATCCTTCTAGATAGTTCAGTGATGGCAAACCTTATAGAGCTTTCAATGATAACAAACAGCCAGCTGCAGCACATGTGCCATGACTAGGTTCCCACCACTGGTTTAGGCTAGGACCTGCTTAGCCATCTCAACACACTGACTAGTTCTAAACTCATCTCTTTCTGTGATGAAGTTTTATAAACAGACTGGAATGAACTGCATCCATCCCTTCTTAAGAAGGCCTAATTGTTAAGATCAGATAAATCTAACACCAGATGTGGAGAAGACAAAAGTTCCAACAAGGGAAGTAGGAACAGGGTTTACAACAAGCAATGTTAATACTTCAAAAAAAAAATTCATTGGGCTGAGGAAGGGAGAACAAGCTGGAGAAAATCCTGCATTCCTGAAAGAATGATATAAAACAGTATCTATTTAATATCAGTAAGTTGCCTTGTATACATTTATAAATGATCAACAGATGTATCTAATCAAGATATGTCTAGAAGATTAAAATACAGTATGTCTTAGTTATATTTATGCATATCACTTAGGTATCACACACATTTTAAAATAGTAATAGGCAGCAAAAGGCATTAAATATATCTTTGAATAAATCATCTGCCACATTTTCTAAGCAGATAACGTGTCTAAAAACCATTAAACAGTAATATTGAGCTAGCTGTGAGATTCGATGTTGAAACAGTGATATAAAGGGACTGAAAAGGGTTTACTAAACTATTCAGAATAATGTTATTTAAGAAGTTTTCATTTTAATCAGTAAAATCTAAAATTTCAAAGGTGAATCACTCTTCTATAATCCTAAGAGTTGTACATTGTGAAAAGGCAAGGAATGTCTACAAAATCAGATTAAATAGCAATCTTCAAAGTAAGAATTTTTAGTGTGGTACATAAGGAGTTTACCGAGGGAGGAAGAGGGAGAGACCGATGTTTAAACATGCCAGTGACCTCAATCATCTGCAGAACAAACACAATGGCATGAAAGTGTAAGGACACTTAAAACCGAAAAAGTACACTTTACAGATAGATACTTGAAGCCCACCTGATGATGAAGTGTGGTGACTACATGGTCACGGCAAGAAGCGGGTCAGCCCCAAAGTACCTTCTGGTCAGTGCCCGGAGCCGGGCCCTGGAGGCCTCGCAGCCAGGATGAAGGATGGCTCCCTAGACGCTCAGCATCGCCCAGGTGCCCTAACGTTTTAAGGCCTCACATGGCACATGCCTACTACACTGAACAGATAGGTCAGGAAGAGAACCGATACTGTTTAGAAGCTGAAAAGGACACAGTAATTTCCTATGAACCATGCCAGCCCGATGAATCACAAAATCATTTTAACTAAATATATTTGAATTTAAGATTTATAAATTATAAATCTAGAAAAAAAAGATATAGGAAAAAAATAAATCAATGGGAGCATTAATCACAGAAATACCAGAATATTTTCCAACTGTCACAAAGACCATGTTTTAATTATTATTTTTATTGTCCTGCTATTCACCAAAATCAGTAGCTTCCCCTTCCCAGAATGGATGGAAGGGCAATCATGGTAAGTTTCAACAGTACAGACCACTAGCGCCTAACACATGGAACTTCAGAAGCAGCAGTACTCACTTTTACTTGAAGGGGGTATGTTCTTCTTTGTACGTCACCCCCACTGATTTGAAGCCCTGATCAAGGAATCATAGTGGGATCTCAAATGCAAATAAATAGTCCAAGCCAGGGCAGGAGTAACAGCCATATGGTACTGCTAGGCCATCCCTTTGCCACAGAGTTGGCCGGACTACTGGATTGTGCCAACGATTAAACTCTTCTTCGCCACTGATTAACCTGGAATTTACCTCCCTCAGCTTCTACCCACTTGTCTCATCTCTGCCTCTTGCAATGTTTGCTTTTTTTTCAGTGCTGGGGAGCATACGAGGCAAATGCTTTACCCATGAGCTAAACCCTTGGCCCGTATCTCTGTCCTCTGAAAGGAAAGATAATCCATAAAGTTCTTTTCCCTATAAAACTCAGGACCTTCTTATATCCACAGACATAAAAAACATAAAAATACAAGTCAAGAGTGATGCAGTGCTGGGTGTGGTGGTATATGCCTGTACTGTAACCCCAACTACTCAGGAGGCTGAAGTAGGAGGATCTCAAGTTTGAGGCCAGCCTACCTAATAAGGCCTTACCTTACCTTAGTAAGGCCCTGTCTCAAAAGAAAATTTTAAAAGGGCTGGAGATGTAGTTCAGTGGTACAATACCTGCCTAGTATGCTGAAGGTCCTGCGTTCAATCCCCAGCACTGGCAAAAAAAAGTTGATAAATCTTTCTTTATTGTCCAGTGACAACCACCATGCCGACCATGCCTTGTCACCAATCCTATGAAGCACAGCATTTACTTAAATTTACAAAGCACCAAACAGAACACTGACTCTCCATTAAAAATTAATTAAGGCAATTATTCCAGAAACTGCACAAACAACTGTCAGACACACTGGCAACCCAACCCATCAGATATGACCCAGAAAGATTAGGTAAAACATTGTCCCTTAAGTACTCACTCTTCACAGAACACCTTAAATCACAAACAAAGTGCAAAAATGCAGTAGCTGATGTCACAAGAAACTGGTGCCAGCACAGTATCTTGAACATGACAAGAAACATAAATATTCATAGCACAAATTCTATTACAGTACTTAGAAATCCCCTGGACAGATTATCCACAATACCAGGAAACTATCAAAATAAGATGTAATAATAAAAAAGAAACAAGAAAAAACAAAATAAGAAAAATTTTAATTGTACAGATGGACTTCTTTGTTTGATAATCCAGCTAAAATCAAGTCACTATTAGCTTTAAACTTATTTTTATACCAATATGAAAAATTTTAAATTATCCACTCCAACTTATAGCTTCTCAGAAAAATAATTATGTGTATATATGCTTAATATGGACATTTCTGCCTTAAAAAAATAAAACTACCAAAGCTCTTCTAAATAACTTATAAACTTTTTCCAAAGTTATACACAAAATAATTACTGAACATATTTCCCACTACTAATTACACATGACAATTTATTTCCTCTTCTGTCTGTACCTGAAGTTGTATAATCTGTACCAACAGTGCATACTGACATCTGTCAGCACATCATCTGAAGGGTGGTGCTCTGACTCTGCTTGTGTTCACATCTTCCACGGGAAACACTTCCTCAGGACTGGCCAAGAATCAGTACCTTAGAAACAACAAAGTCACTGCTGGGCACAGGGTCCTGCAGCCAGACACAGCAAGGAGCAATTTCATAATCTGTGCTATTGTCAGTGCCAAATACATGAAGAAATTCCTTTTTTTTGTTGTTGTTCCAGGGATCGAACTTGGGACCTTGTGCTTGCGAGGCAGGCAGCAGAACCACTGAGATAAATCTCTGGCCCTACATGAATAAATTTCAATGTTCTTAAATTTCTACACTTCTTTCATTTACAAGCAGAGACCACAGATTCAGCCAATAATATTCTGTTGATATTGTAATCCATGCATGAAAACCATAATTATTACAATTATTGTTCTTACTCTGTAGCCACTGGCTGCCTCACATCATTCAGTTGAGCCTTCATGACACATGTGTCATCTTGCTATCCCCACTAAGAAAACTGAGCCCAACAAGGAAGGTCACTCACTCCTAACCCCTAACAGGAGCCTGGGAGCTCTTTCTGTGAAAACTCAGAGGCCTTTCAGACAAGGTACTGTACTCGTCTTCACAAGAGAAACAGAAAGAAGACGAAATCCAACTCAGCAACTCATGAACTGTTTCTCTGCACTCAGATACAATCTAGTCCTAAGCTGCGACACGTACAAACAGTTGGAGGGAAAGGCAGCGACTGAGATGAAACACTCACAGGGGGAATGGACATTCAACACTGTCTGTTGAAAATACATACCTAATGTACACACCCACAGTTATAAAACTGAAAGAGACCTTGGAACTCGCCTGTTCTCCCATTCACAGATGAGGAAAACAGTGAAGCAGAGGGAGAAGGGGCTTCCTGAAGGTCACCCCATTAACCATTCACTGGTGGTAGAGCCAGGGCTTTTTCCTGGCCTGACTCTGTTTCCCAATTAAAGGACAGTCCAAATATTGTAAGGAACCATCACAATGCTAGGGAGATTAGAAAACGGGATCTCACCAACCTCACAAATGTAAAAATTATTGGCGTTTTACATATCATTTAAAGCAGCAGGAACTTACTTTGCTTCCTATAGGAAAAATAATCAATGTATGTATTTTAGGCTTTATCATTACAGTTAAGAATAATCTCTAAATTATGACCTTTCTTCCCCTTAGATACACAGGGTTTTTAAAAATTTTGTTATTATAATAGACTTAAGCACATTCAAAAATAAGTCTCTCAAAATGTCACCACTTTTAACTAACATGAACAGTAAAAACTCAGTCATTTAGTATTTCATCATCTGATAGGTACAGGTCGCTCTAACCTGTGAAACATATTACCCTAATCCAGTTCACGTCTTCTGCTCTTTTTCAGTCTTCACATATTCATTGTTAAGTTACTCTGAATGTGGTATTTCTTTCCCTTCTGAGATTTAAGCAATAGGCAACAAAATATCTCTGAAGTTGAATAGAGCAACAAATCTAAAAATGGCTTAACCTAAGCCATTTGCTACTTAATATTATTTTCAACATAAAAAACAATCTAATTAAGACTCTTATGGGCCGGTGATCTAGCTCAGTGGTTCTGCCTCCTGCCTCACAAGTGCAAGGTCCCAAGTTTGATTCCTGGTACCAAAAAAAAAAAAAAAAAGACTCTCGTACCTGTGGGTCTTTTAAAAGACTTCATTCCTCAATTAAAAATTAACATGAGGGCCAGGGATTTAGCTCAGTGCTTCCACCACCTGCCTCACAAGCGCAAAAACCCGAGTTCAATCTCCAGTACCAAAAAAAAAAAAATCTAACATGAAATTCTTTTTGGAGAGACAAATATAATAATTTTCTAGGTATCACTTAATGCCATTCCGTAAGAAAAAAAATAAATTTATGTAGACCAATAGTTAACCATCCAGATGACAGAAAATATTGACAATTAAAACTGGTTTTGTGTCTCTTATTCGTGAGATCACTTTTCCACTTTAATACAAGGACTGATCTAGAGCAGATGCCAATGCTAATGGAGAGGAATTCCATTCTTCACGTTTTGATCAATCTGAGGAGGGTTTTCTCCAGAGGTGAAGAGCTGCCTGAATTCTGAAGTGTAGTCTGGACTCCAAGGAGTAATCTTTGTAGTTGTTTCTGAAGACAATAACAATAAAATCGTACAGTCAAAATTTCTTTGAATACCAGGGCATCACAACCCTCCTCTTCCTCTCTTCAGTCTCCGTAACTGCTTTCCAACGTTAATATGCCTAACAGTGAATCTTAGTAAAATGCAGATTCTGCTTCCAAGTGAGAGAGGAAACTGCACATCTGTATTTCCAAAAGTTTCCTGATGGTGACTTAAAGAACATACTTTGAGTAGAAACATTCTATTTAGTTACTAGATCCTTCACAAACACAGCAAGGTTATGAGGAGGCTCTAAGCCTGGTGAAATATCCTTATCTTTAAGTTGGAAAATATTAAGGCAGGCTCACACACACATACTGAACCTGATCCATCACTCAGAAAAGGAAAAATACCTTGAAACGCCCATGAAACAACTACAACAAAGACAAAAGGATTATTTAGTGACACCAAAATTCTCACATGCCAATATCAATGGTTTGGCCAACAATTATATAACAGAAGAGACCATAGAACTCCAAAGATTATTTTAAAACTTGATTTACATCATTCATGTTGACCGCCCTTTTCTACAAGATTCATCAAAATGGAACAGCTTCGGCTTTGGTCTCCTGCTTTCATACTCTGCACTGGCCAGCATGCAGTAACTTCTTTGCCGTATCACTTATTTTTACAGTGTTTCATTTTACACAGATCTAAGGGCTATTTACTAGTAACTATGATGAGAGTTAGCAAATGTATTATTCACAAACTAAAGTCAAGATCTTAAAGAGTTTACCAAAGGATGTAACCAACTATTTTCTTAAATGTCTGGCCACCAATTTTGGCAAATTCGCAAACTCCTACTACATAAGGGAAACTACAGGTAACAGTCTTGAAATTACCAGGGAGTATTTTGTATCATCAGTACTTTTTTGAGTTAGTGGTGACTTCTGGTTGATTTTTAGAAGGAATAATTAGACTTCTATTTTCTTCATTATACAGTTACTTTATTAAAGTGCACTTATAGCACTGAATGTGTCCAAACAATGAATATTTGGGACAACAGCACTTAGAGTAATTTTCCAATATCTAGGTTTGAAGATATACAGATATTCCAGATGAAATCTTAGTCATCCTCATTCTCAACAATTTAACTCTAAGTGACCTGTTGCCATACCAGATAGACAGACAGATAGTTAGATAGACAGACAGACGGAATTTTAATAAGTCCTCCTTGGCTACACCATGTTCCTGAAACTTCTGCCCCATTACTTACTATGCTCTATACACAGCAAACATTCTAAAAGCCTTCCCTAAAGTAGCTGACTTCATGTCTTTTCTCACCTCACTTTGTCAAAGTCACCACAATTTTCTTGATGCCAAATTCAGGAGCCCCTTCTACTGGTCTTATGTTGCTTGGCCTCTTGGAAGCTGCCCTTGTAACTGATCATTCTTATCTTTTCCAAAAGTTTAGTTTTACCAGATGTCTTCCTAACTCCACTTAATCTTATTAATAAGATTTTAATCTTAATTTTATTGATTACCCTCTAAAATGATGGCATATCCCAGGCACTGTGCTAGACCTTCATCTCTTGCTCTATAACTTTCCCCAAATGACCTCATCAAGTATGATGGCTTTAAATATCACTATCTCTGTGCTGGTAACTTTGGAATTGCTACATTGTTTTCATCCTACTACTAAATTCCATGACTGTGTATCTGTCAACTCACCATCCTGACCTGGGTACCTAATAGCCATCTCAAAGCATCATGGTACAAAGAGAAGTGTGCTTCTTTCTCTCCCCAAATCTGTTTTTCTTAATACTCCCTATCTCAGTAAAAATATCATTGTCAACCTAATGGTTCAAACCCACAATCCAGTGGTTCCTCAGCTGTGGTTTCTGCTAGGAATGCTCCCTACCCAGTTTATGGTGACTTCTGATGACTGCCTCAAAGCTAGCTTTAAGTATGCAATTATCCACTATAGTATCACCTTCTCAAGGAAATTTAGAACCAATCCAATCTAAAGTAACATGCAGGTACCCTTCTATGAACAGTATACCTTTCAACAAAACACACAGCACTGCTATTTTTCTACTTGATTGTTTATTTACTATCTCCTTCCAGCTAAGATAGCAGAAATGCTGACTATTCAGTTTACAGCTGCCTCTCTAACACCCTTTAGAATCTGAATATAATAGGCACTCAGTGAATATTTGCTTAATTTGAAGAAATGAACAACTAAGCTATTTATGACCTAGAATTATCATGGTGTTCTTTCTCCACTGCATGAAGTGCTCAAGGCAAACAGAACATGGGAGTTTTTACCTCACCCAAGTGGGCCATGATCACAAGTCTAAGAGCCATTGTCTACCAGAAATGATAAAAATACTTCAAATCTGCCGTGGTTGATAGAAAGGAGAGAGTCAAGGAAAGATCAAAGAGTTTCACTTGACCAATAGCTCTTCAAGGAAATGCTAGATATGACCGATTATGATCATATCTATTAGTAAATTATGAACCAATGGCCAAATCTAAACACACCCATTTACTTACATATTATCTTCTATGGTTACTGTTTTTTGGGGGGGGTACAGGGGCTTGAACTCAAGACGCTGTGCTTGCAAGGCAGGTGGCGGAACCACTGAGCCAAACCCCCGGCCCTATGGCTACTTTTTATAACTGTGCAATGGAGGCCCTATACTGTAAAGCCAAAACTACTGTTTGGCCATTTATGGTATAAGTTTGTCAGCTCCTGATATAAAAGAGATTAAATTAGAAATCACTGAGACACCCACAATAATACCCACAAATATTCACAGGGTGAGGCATTAAGAGGTTGAAAACAGCACAATTACAGCAAAATCTATGAGCATACACAACATAAAAATTAGAAAAAGGGGCAAAATTATTAACTTTACATAGACTTACTAATTTTTAAGTGTTTAGTGTCATTGTTTTTGTAATGATATTGATATACTTGACTCTATAGAAATCAAGGAAAAGCTGCTTTCATCACTTACCTTGCAGTCTCTAGGACCTTTATGGCTTTGTCAATTTCCCCTTGGCTTTTATACAAAAAGGCCAACTCAAACAGAGTGAATGGCACTAAGTAGTGGTCATATTTTAGCAGCTTTTCGCTGAAAGAACAAATGGAAACCAATTAAATCTTAACAGAACAAAAACCATATTGTTTTTCAAAACTTTATTTCTCATTCCTGAGAAAACAAGCGTAGCCTTAAGCCTATTATCAGAGAAAAGCTGCTGTTATATAGTTATGAAACTTAATAAACTATGGCAATAAATAGTATGCTTTTATATATTAATCACTATTCCTTAATGTAAATCCAGCACTGATGATAGTTTACTGAACACAGGCAGACCTTTAAAGAACCACCCTCAAAATGATGAGATTATCCTTCTGAAAGTGATGTGTGTTCAGTCCATTTGTAAGCAAAAGTGCTGCATTTTTTTTCTCAAGTTCAATTCCCTTTAAAGTCTTATAATGCTTGCAACGATCATAATGGCTCTGTTTTCAGCATCATTATGAAAGTCTCAGCTACGAAACATCTAAAGACTCTGGAAAAAAAATATGAGTAACACCATTTCAATGTTCTGCTTAGTTCAGGAGAACATAAGAAAATCTCTCAGGTGTCAAAAACAGAGCTATAACTAAAAAAACCCAAACTCTAGGTATATGAGATAATGCTGAATGAGTCCTGGAATTGCTTCCATCTGAACCATGCAGCGCTTTGGGTCCTAATGTCCATGCAGGAGAGGAGGCCTTGGGCAGGTGGTGGAGTCCTCTATTTAAAGCATGCTCTTGGAAGACCTTCAACAGGTATTCCATTAAAGAAGGATTAGAAGAAACCCACTCACTGGCATAGACAAGAGACAGGACAGTGGTTTCTTTGGCCTGCACTTTTAGTGAGGGAAAAAAACCAAACAAACAAACAAACACATCCCTTCAGAAATCAATAGCCAATAGGTCTGTATTCACATGAATTTGCAATTCAAATTTACATTGCCCAAATGACCCAAGAGCCAATAAGCAATGAAATTAATATGAAAGTGGTCTTTGGATACAAAAGCCTTAGGACACTTGGTAGAAATAAAAGCAAAATTACTTTTTTTTAAGAAAAATTACTTTTTAAAAGAGACTCTTCTCAATATTGCCTCATAGGAATCTGAAGATAAAACCTCACTGAGGGTGAGTTCATAATCCAAAATTATAAAATACATGAACAAATAATTCACTGATTCAATAAACATAACAAAAGCATAAATGGGTCATCATTTTGACTACCCTTTTGATCCTTAAAAGGCTCCAGTGAAAGAGAATTGCATACCTACTTCTTGAACATATCTACTAAATACAGTATATCACTTATTGGGGAAACAGACATTGCCTCTTTCTTCTTCGTATACAAATATCAGTCCTCCTACATTCCCATAAACGCTGTCCGGAGGAAGGGGATCAGGTGGCCATGGGTGCAAAGTCACATGATATGGGAAGTGGGATGTCAACTGCAGTCTATGGCTGTGGTCTTTTTAGCTTGCACGATGTTATCAAAAACTATGCACTAATATTTAAAAATCATTTATATAAAATGTAGCTTTCAGTCTTCTCATGAAAAACAGTAAGGACTATCGTCACTGGGCTCACACTGTCCTGAGCAATAATCAACCAGACCTGAGGAGGGGCTGCACCCTTCAGACTGAACACATCCCCCAATCTGGAGTGCCCATCAAGCCCTCTTCCCACCACACAGCCTTTCTCCCCTTCCTTAAGGCTACTTCTCTGGCCTTAAGAGATCTGCACCGTGACAAAGAAAAGAGGGTGAGGCATTTCACCCTTGCTTGAATCAACTCTTACAATTAGTAAAGGAGTATGACATCATTACTGCTATTGGGGAAAAAAAGTTACATGCAGAAAAAATGCCTTTTGCCAAGAAAGAAGCAGGTGCTTGTCACATGTTTACTCAACTCTGAATCCCTAGGATCCAGCACAGTATCTGGCACACAGTGGGTACTCAAATATCTGTTGAATATTTGAATGGATTAAAAAAACCTATATGCATGAGTTAAAAGTGCATCAGGGGGCCGGGGATTTAGCTCAGTGGTTTTCGCCGCCTGCTGCGCAAGCGCAAGGACCCGAGTTCGATCCCTGGTACCAAAAAAAAAGTGCATCAGGTCCAGGGATTTAGCTCAGTGGTTTCGCCACCTGCTGAGCAAGCACAAGGACCCGAGTTTGATCCCCAGTACCAAAAAAAAAAAGTCAATCAGTGGCTCAGTATATCACTTCCACTCTGGACAGACATCTGTAGCCAGACCATAAATTTAGTTTTTGTGGGTCATCTTTATACACCAAGTACTGCAGAAATGCATACGCCAGCTTCATTTAGACTGTACTTTGTTCATGAGTAATAAAGAGAACACTGCTGGATTCTTTCCTTGGTTAAAACCAAGTAAAGTTCAGTAGCTAAAAAGCATTTGCAATACTTGCTCACAGCAGTTCTCTGGAACTGCATTCAGGCTGTCTTTGTTTGTCCTTACCTTTCCACAACATGATTGAAGCACAGTTCAGCTTGCAAGGGCCGCTGTAAGTTCTTCAGGCAGCACCCTTTAAGTAACTTCACCAAGCACTCGTCATCCACAGAATAATCGCTAAAGCCTTAAAACAAGAACATAAAATGGAAAAAATGGTTTTTATTTTTCCCTTTTTTCTCCAGTACTGGGCGTTGAGTCCAGGGCCTCATACATGTTAGGTAAATGCGCTATTACTGAGCTAGCTAAACCCCTAGCTCAAAAATACTTTAAAAATCCTAATTAAGAAGAAAACTAACAGCTACTGGCTTCAGGGGGATCATTTGTGTTTTTAGCATTTGTTATGCCAAAGTAAAACACAATGAAAATATTTTTAAATAAAAAGAATGTTGAGCTTACTATATTAGTATTACCATTTTATCAAGGAATCCACTTAAAATTTTTTTCAAGTGATCACATTCTCAGTTTTTTAACCTGAGATATAACAACGGGGATTCTGAACTCTAAAGAGCTTTATTAGTTCTATAAAAGGTAAAGCCAGGATGAACAAGAAGGCTGCCTCCTCCTGTTATTCTGGCTTCTAACTGTGTTGGCTTCAGCGCAGGAGAGGATAACGCTTCCATATGGAGAAGCAGATGGCCTTATTCCCATTAAAAATTCAGGAAGTAGAATACCCTCTCCAGATCATTATGTTTACAGCTTATCAATTCTCCCAGGTTATGTTCTTTTGGGGGGAAATTATGTCATAAAATTAGACAAAACAGTTCTGAAATACATGTAAGTGGCATCTAAACCCCACAAACTTCCAAATATGTGTGGGTTTTGATGTAAAAGACATTCTTTTAGTATGTTTTCGCTTTTGAAAATGATTCTCTGCCTTCTACAGTTTAAGTCAAATGCTATGTGTGACATCTGACAAAGGTGGTCACTCCACATTTACCACTTTTGAAGGTTTTTCCCCTCTCTTTTTTTCAAGTTACATGCAACTAAGAAGCCATTCCAAGACAGACTGCTAATTCACACATCTCAGGTAAGACGGCAGGAGGAGGAGCAGTAAAGGGAACTAACTGAGGCCCTGGGAGTCCCTCAGACTGAAACTCTCTTGCTTTAGTACAAATCTAAAATTCACCAATGACACACAAGCTACTTATCTCTGGGAGGTTAACAATGCTACTTAGTTAACTAGAAGTGGGTCACTTTACTGCTACATGGTGAAAACAGCTGAGGTTCACCTCTAACAAGTACTGACAGGTCACTTATTAAGAAAAATCAGAAGCTGGAGATTTAGCTCAGTGGTTCCGCTGCCTGCCTCGCAAGCATAAGGTCCAGAGTTCAATTCCTGCTGCCAAAAAAAAAAAAAAAAAGAAAAGAAAAATCACAGATACCAACACCCCATACTGTTCTTATTACTTATTGAGGACACTTTTTTTAAACCTCCCCCAAAACATTTATCTATATTCCTAATCATGGATGTTTGTTGAAATATATATGCAAGAAGGAATATTTTTCAGGGCCTAGATCTAAAGCCTTAGGGTCCATAATGGATGCTAGTTTTTAGTGTCACTTTTGTGCATCCTATTGAGTTTTATGTAGCATTTTATTGACAGTTTGTGTTATGACAACATGCTTGCTGATTGGTTTTTGATGTGGAAGGAACAGACATAGCACCATGGAAAGGCAACGTACAAGTAAAGCCACACATAACTTCTACGTAAAACCTGAGTTAGGAATATGCCAGATGGGTTCAAAAATTTCACACTCCTCTAAAAACCTTAAAACCATTATTTCCTCAGGCCACAATTTGTCAGATGATTATTTTCCCTAAAAATATGAATGCTTTGTCATGATTCTTAACCTCATGAAAGAATTCATAGATGAAGATTTCCAGTTTCCATGAGAAGAAAATTACATGATGATGTTCCCCAAGTAGAACTGTAGCACAAAAGACCTGTCGGATTTAGTAAGTCAGTGCGGTGTGTTGAGGACAAAGGAAGTTTAAAGGTCAAACTACAAAAAAAACCTATCATGAACTTCTTAGAAATTAACTGAAATGAACAAAAAATTAAAATGTGAACAGATTCAGAAAGTGAAAAGCCATCAAAGTGTTAATACTTTGCCTTTTATGTAATTTAATTATATTTGCTATATAATTTCACCAAGCAAATTAACTTCAACAAATAGGCAAAGTGGATCTGCCGTACCAGCATCTGGATACTTGGTAAATTTAGTTAGATTCCAAGCAAAACACTACTGGAATTAACACCAAATGGTGACTCTGGGCATGCTACCAAGTGCTTTTCTGTCTTCAGAGTTCTGCCCTTTGTCTCAGTGATGGCCTTTAACAATGACGGCAAGAGCACTGCCAGAGTAGAACAATCATGTCTTCTACCATCTTCAGACCCACTTTAGAACCACCTGGCAAACCAGAAGCAAAAACACTCCACTTCTAATAATGGGGTGGGGAGGAAGTGGAGGTCAATGTAACCTCAAGTTCACAACTTCCCTCCATCTGCCAATTATGAGTTTGTTTCCCCTGATTTGAGAGATAGGAGATTAATTACTAAAAGGTCGTAACAGGCCAGGGCTTGGTTACACACTACTTTTAGTATGAGAAGGCAATATTATTCACCCCTTATCAACAGATAAACTTTTTCTGAAATGCTTTTTCTACAGTGGGTAGACTATTTCACTCACTATATTGACTTTGTTCGCAGATAAACCCATGGATTCAGCTTTCATTTTTTTTATATTTCTGTTCCTCTTGATGAAATCTAATGCCAAAATTATTTTAAATGGGAAGAATAATCTAAATACCCAAAAAAACTCAGAGTGGATTAAATTATGATACATTACCTCCATGGAATGCTATGAAGCTTCTGAAACATATAAAGGCCATTTACCAAAACTTAAAACATTTATGATGTATTAAGTGAAAAAAAAAAAAAAAAACAGATTAGTATATATCCAGACACCTTATGTTTGTAACTCTAAAAATAAAGCCAGACGGAAAATACAAAAATTCTAAATTGTGCTACAGTAGCAAAAGTATGGGTGACTTTTCCCCACTTATACCTAAAAATTGTAATTATGTGTTTAAAAAATAATTGTAAAAAGAGGCTTCATTAAGCATATCCGCTTAGTAAGAAAGACATCAGTACAAAAAAGAGAAAACAAATTAAATGGCAAGATCTAAGCTTGAACACAAACAACTCACTGAGAACCATCAAGAATAATGGAAAGAGTAACAGCAAGTTAAATCAAAAGGAAATGCACATGTACCCTGTGCTGCTCTTACTTTCCAGTGCCTGACATCCTATCTTTATCTTTCTCCTAAGTTTTCAGATACAATTCACATACCATACAATTCATTCACTTAAAGGATATAATTCAATGGTTTTTGGTGTATTGCAGAGTAATACACTACTGTAATTAATTTTAGAACCACCACTGTAATTAATTTTAGAACATCTTCATCTCCTCCCCAACAAAATACTATACCATTCAGCTATCATGCTCCCACCCCAGTTGGTCCATCCCTAACCAGCTACTTCCTAATCCCCTTTCTGTATTTAAGCATTGGCCCGTGCTGGATATGTCATACAAATGGGATCATACAATGTATGGTCTCTGTGAGTGGCCTCTTTCACTTAGCCCATGTTTCCAAGGTTCATCCATGTTACAGAGTATGTGTCATTCCTCCTTCATCTTGGTTGGAACCACTCAGATAACTGCAGCTCAAGCTCTTTTGTCCTCACGATGCATAAAAATTGACGTGGACATGCAGTGAAAAGACAGAATAGAAACGTAGCAGAGACAACAATTACTATCTGTTTACTTTTCATACTTACTTTCATTTTCTAAAGCTGCCTCAGCCTTTTCAATGGTTACCAAGAGATTTTCACAAAGGTCTTTTCTTTTCCCCACTATTGAAAAGCCATTCCAGACATACATCATTTCCTAATGAAGAAGGATGAAAAATCATTCAATAACCACAAAAACTATGCATAGGTATATTTTGCCTCCGTTGCCAGGGATTTCAAGACAATACTAGAGATCATGTTTCCTAGCTTCATTTGGAGTTTCGTAATATAATTTCCCCTTCTTTTGATTATATGCTTTTTGCCTTTTGTACATTTTGTGCTTTTTCTGAAAAATTAATTTATTTACTCTTTTAACAAGTATTTATTAAGTACCTACTAGTATTATACTCTTTTAGAATATACAGATTTTAAAAGTAAATATAGTGCTGGGGATGTAGCTCAATGGTATAGCACTTGGCCAGCATGTGCAAGGCCCTGAGTCCAATCCCCAGTACATATGTGCATCCCACATGCATGCACACATGCACACACATGCACACACACACGCACATGCACACACACAGTAAATAACTGTAAGCTGACACTGAACAAATCCATTTAATGTAAATTTTTGTTGTTATTTTTAAGTAAAAGGAAGTATTTTTAAATGTCTGCCAGTTGTTTATATAAAATGTTTCCAAGCATATCCCTGGAAATGAATGTTGGAATATTTTATTGGGCCCAGGTTCTTTCATACCATTAAAAACATGTGTTGGTCCAGTAATGGAAACCAATATGCAGAGAACACATTCACTTAAAGGCCATATGGCTGAATGACAGCTTCTGAAAATGTAAACTAATGATTTCTCATTGCAGATTATATTTAATGGACGAACAGATGAGAAATTTTTTTGGACCAAAAGCAAATGTGCTTTTGCCTGAAAATATTTTTCTAATGCTCTTGACAGTGCAGTTCATATTTTGAAGGGCATACAATAAGCAGGGTAATTCATGTCTTCTTGGACATAAATGAATTTTAAACTGATAGTTACTGCTTGAAAAGCCTCTTACCAGGGAAGCAGTGGATATGAGGAAGACATATCCAGTCAGAGTGGCGATAATTTTACTATATGGCACTGAAAACTATGATCACAACATGGGACAATTTCTTACTGCTACCAAAATAAGAGATCAATTCAATAACATTTCAATTATTTTGAAATTGATAGTGATTTTTTTTGAGGTTTTAATCAATGGACTATTTTATCAGAAAGAGGCAAGTGTGTGTCTTTTGTTTTGTTTTTTGGGGGTTTTTTTGGTACCATGGAGCAAACTCAGGACCTCATGCTTGCAAGGCTGGAGCAGGGTCACTGAGCTAAATCCCCAGCCCCTTGCATGTCTAAGATTTTATGAAACACAGGCTTGTGGTAAAATTCCCAGGTACCACCAATTCCGGCCATTTTCCTGTTTCTTCCCCAGCAACAGACTTGGAGAAGGAAGTATAGTTAAGTTAGATCTTTCTTAAGACTATTAATGGTCAAAGCAGGAAACAGCTATGTGCACATAGTACGAAGGACTAGTGCATGCAAAGAACTGGATGGTTTAAAATTTTTTCTAGAAAGTTTTGTGAAACAGAAACACTTTCCCAGTGCAAATTAGCTTGTTTTTGCATTTCAAAAATGCATGAGGAGGGGCCGGGGATTTAGCTCAGTGGTTCCAGCGCCTGCCTTGCAAGTGCAAGGTCCTGAGTTCAATCCCCAGTACCAAAAAAAAATAATAATGAATGAGAAGGGCTGGAGATTTAGCTCAGTGGTTCTGCTGCCTGCCTCACAAGCTCAAGGTCCTGGAGTTTGATCCCCAATACAAAAAAATAATAGTAAATGAGGAATGGAACTGAAGTTAGCTAGTAAGGCAGCAGCAGTGCACTCTCATATAAGTTGGGAGACAGATGTGTGGTTATCTGTCAGCTGTCCTCAATATGACTGCAGAATAGTTACACTTTGTCTACTCCATCAGAGTCAAAGAGCAACCTTATCTGAAAGTACTGTTCTCTAAGCTGCCAATGTTAAGTAGGGAACACCTGGGCCAAGGTGCCAGGAGCAGGGTGGCTCCTATCTGATACCTGTCAGGCCTGCATTTTCTGTTCTCATAGAATGCACAAAAAGCTCTGCAAGTCAGTAACAAAATAAGAAGCAAGAAAAACTAAGGAAAGATGAGAACAAGTCACAAATGAAAAACTAAAAACAAACAGAATAGAAGATGCTCAACAGCACCTACAAAAGAAATGAAAATTAAAAGAATAAAACATTGTAGGTTTGGAGAGAAATCTGGTAATATCTACCAAAATATATCCTCAACCAGAAATTCTATTTTTTGTTGTTGTTGTTGTTGTTCCAGGGATTGAACTCAGGACCTTGCGCTTTCAAGGCAGGTGGTGGCACCACTGAGCTAAATCCCTAGCCCTTAGAAATTCTATTTCTAAAAATCTTCCCCAAAGAAGTATATATAAATGTAAAAAAAAAAAAAAAAAAGTACATTCATTGTAGTGTGTGTGACAGTAAAAAATGGGACAATTTACACAGCCAGCAAAGGAGAATGATTAAATAAACTGTGGAATTAAAAAAGAAGAGGACAGCAGACACTGGCTTCAACTGACCAGCTTTTCTTTACTGTCTACCTTCACAAAAACTAAAGCCCCAGGATATTCCTGGTAATTTGATATATCCAGTGTTTTTAAAGGAAGATATCATTAAGAAGACTTTTTGTTGAAATAGTGTTTTTCACAGGTGGCTTGCCCAAAAGGTACAATGAGTAGAGAGAGCACCAGGTGGACCAGTGCAGCCACCAGCCACTCTGGGTCTGGAGCAGTGGAACACTGAATGTCTTGTAAGTGTGACAGACACATTAGGGTTCCAAGAGGTAGTACAACATAAAACGATGGGAAGTATCTCACGAATAAGTTTTTATCTATTACATGTTGAAATGGCAAAACTTTGCGTGTACTGTAAACAAAATATACTCTTAAAATTAATTTCAGGTTTCCTTTTGTATTTTTTAATATGGCTATTAGAAAAGGTAAAATTATATTTACGGCTTGCATTTTAATTCAATTCAAGTTCAATAATGGTGACTTTGCCTCTCTCTGCCTGAATGTCCTTATCTGTAAATAGGACTAACAAGACTACATTCAGAGTTGTTATGAGAGCTAAATGATATATTGTTTTAAATAGCTTTTATGAGAATGTCTGCCACTAGACAGCAGCATTAGCTATAATTTTAATTATTTGTTAACTCATTTGTAAATGTTTACCTTAGAAAACCTAGAATGGTTTCTGAGTTAATTACCCATGCAATGATATGCTCTCTGCTGCTCTAAACTAGTGATTTATTTCTAGTATACAAATAGTAAATAAAAGCAGATACCAGGGCTGGCAAGACAAGCTTCACAGGGCCAGGCAAGGAGGGGGAGTAGCGCCGAGCCTTCCTCACAGCAAACTTCTCAGTCGGGAGAGATTTACCAGCAATTCTCTGCTTCAAGCCATCCACCTGTCTGTGAAGATCCCCAGCCCCAAAGAAAGATCAGTAAATCCATCCAGCCATCTATTCATTCATTTGTGGCACTGGAATTGAACCCAGAGCTTTCCACTAGCTACATCCCCAGCCTTTTTTTTTCATTTTTTCACTTTGAGACAGGATCTTGCTAAATTGCCCAGGCTGGGCCTGAACTTACAGCCCTCCTGCCTCAGCCTCCCAGAGTACTGGGATTACATGGGTGTGCCACCACAACTGGAAAACACATAATATTATGTACACCTGTGGTTTTTACACTGCAACACACAAAACAGCAGCGACACCTAGGAGCCTGTCTGAAATGCAAATTCTCAGGCCCTACCCCAGACCCACTAAATTGGCAACTCTAAGGGTAGAGGGGCAATCTGGCTTCTGATACAGCCTGCATGTAAGCCTGGTGCACACTCATGTGACTACCACTAACTGACATGTTTTGTGCTAGTCAGCCTAGCCAATGCTTCTATCACCACATTCCAGGTAACCTAGGTGTAAAATTGGCAATTTCCTTAAGAAAGCAGTATTTACTTATAGTGTGGATACTCAGAGAAAGAGTATACTGGTACATTTCCTGTTTGTATTTGCAAGTATGACAGAGATTTATACAATAATGTAACTCAAAAGTCAGCCATCAATTAATGTATAACTTGAGAATAGGTGATTTTGGAAATAATTTAGGACATGTACCATATTTACAAACTTCTTAAAATTGTAAGAAATTCTACTTATGAAATTCATAAACACAGGGCTTTGGGGCATGTAGATCAGTGGTAGAGCACTTGCCTAGGATGTCTACTAGGCCCTGGGTTCAAGTGCCATTTTTTTTTTTTTTTTGGTACCGGGGATTGAACTCAGGTCCTTGCGCTTGCACAGCAGGCGGCGAAACCACTGAGCTAAATCCCCAGCCCAAGTCCCAATATTTCTGAAAGAAAAACAAAGAAATTCACAAGCCTGTGAAAATGAACCTGGGATGAAGACACTACATGTTCTTACATAACTGCATACTACGAATGCATCAAACAGGTTGCTAAGAAAGGAGTCAAGAAAATCTAATTACATTACTGAAAGAAAGAGTAAGATTAAACGTAAGGGGAAAAAATCAGCTTAACTGCAACAGCCAAGACTCCCATAATAAAATTCTAGTTCCAAAACATAAATAAAACAATGTGTTCTCAAGATGCCCAGTCACACAGCATATCACAAAAGCCTGATGTGACACTGTAACATGTGGCTAAATGTACTGTTTTAAGGGTTTCTATATCAAATAAGTAGAGGAATTAAAGAAATAGGAAAGCAAAGCAAAGAGACCATTACAGAAAAGACAGAGGATGTATCTGTATCTTTATACATCCAGAGTCTTTATTATAGAAACAGTGTCCTGCTTACCTGAATAAAGCTATCACATTCTCATTAGTTGCTAATACATCTTCCTCTGGAAGCATACTCAAAATTGCTGCCTTCAAGAATACATATGTTGCCTTGAGGAGAAAAAAAAGCTGCTAAAGAACATCTTTAGGTCATGACATTTCTATTTGCAAATCAGAAATGACCTACAAAACTTCCAGATTCAATGTTAGGAAGCATCAAAGAAGTCAAAAGAAATAAAATCTTAAACTGTCTGTTCCAAATGAGGATAACAGTTTTCAATTAATTTAGACCAGTTCCTATCATATTCAAGGATCATTATCTCATTATTCTTTTATTCTATTCTTCTATTTATTCTTTTATTTTATTCTCATTCCAACTTTTCACAAATGGATCAAATTAATTTTAATTATCACAAAAGTCTATCAGGGCACTGGGAAGTCTACAGAAAGTATTAACACCACATTACGGATACGTAATAATTGTAAATACAAGTGAGTTCATCTTTATAGTAAAATCTTTGTTGGAAATTCTTTGGATGGCTTTTAATTTTTTTTTTTAATTTATTTATTTATTTATTTATGGTACCAGGGATTGAACTCAGAACCTTGCGCTTGTGAGGCAGGCACAGTACCACTGAGCTAAATCCCCGGCCCTTTGGATGGCTTTTAAAGCATGCAATGCTGAAGACTGTGCTTGTGATTAAGTAGTTAGTACTTAATGCAAATTTCCTCTTGCAGATATCTGCACTGAGAAAAGTGTCGCTGAAATACTACTGAACAAGTATCCTAGATACTTATTAGTAAACATTAGTAGACACTGATGAAGGCACCTTACCTTGGACCATTTACTCTCTTTGCAAAGGAGATCTGAATAGTAATACGCCTGCACCCAGTTTTGTAGAAATACATTAATCCACATTTGCTCCCAGTAACAGAGATGGTGAAACTGTTTCCATTCTTCTTGAACTGAAATGCATTTTTGAAATATCTCTTGTGCCTATAAGTCAATTGCATAAAGCTGATCATCCAGATATTAGATAAGGAGATAATAACCTAACGGGAAAATACATAAAACACTGCACAAAAAGAACAAAATCATCACTCATTAAACCACTCAACATGATGGATGGTGTGTTTCTTACACAGAATGATATAGTTAAGTTCCATGTCTTTAAGTTTGTGAGGGGATACTGGCACTTTATAACACAGGACTCGGGAAATTCCTTTCCAAGAAAGGTATAAAACACCAGTCCTTTAAGAAAAAACTGACAACAATATAGTGAAAACTTCCATTGGGCAAAATAACACTTTAAAGTTCCAGGCACTGGATAGACTAGGAGAAGATATTACTACCCACATAATTAGCAAAAGGTTAACTATCCCCTGGTCAGACAAAAATTTTACAAAATCCTTTAAAAGACAACTCAATGGGAAAATTGATAAAGATAAACAGGCAAATCAAAGAAAAGATATACAAATGACAAATATACATATGAAGAAATTTGGTACCAGGGATTGAACTCAGGACCTTGCACTTGTGAGGCAGGCGATGGCACCCCTGAGCTAAATCCCCGGCCCATATGAAGAAATTTGGAAATGAGGCAATATACATTTAAAAATTAGACTATCATTTTTTTTCATTAGCAAAAACAGAACAGACAGAAAATTCCCAGAGTTGACAAAGAACACTAGAAACAAGGATTCTCATTATCTCTATAGGAGCTTAGCGTGTAAGAACCTTAAGGAGAGAAACACAAATCAAAACAACACTAAAATTCCATCTTACTCCAGAAAGAATGACTATCATTAAGAAACCAAATAACAACAAATGCTAACAAGGCTGTGGAGGAGGGAAAAGGAACCCTTCTACATTGTTGGTATGAATGTAAACTAGTAGAACCACTATGGAAATTAGTATGATGATTCCTCAAAAAACTAAAAGTAGAAATTCCATTCAACCCAGCTATTCCCCTTCTAGGTATCTTCCTGAAAGAATTAAAGACATCATATTACAATGATACATGCATTCTCATGTTTATAGCAGTACAATTCATAATAAGTAAATCTTGGAGGTGGCCTATATGTCCATCAACAGTTGAATGGATAAAGAAAATGTATTTATACACAATGGAGAACTGCTTTGCTAAAAAGAAGGATGAAGCTAAATCATTTGCAAGAAAATGTATGCACCCTGAAACCATAAAGCTAAGTGAAATAAATCAGACACACAAACTTAAATATAGCATGGTTTCCCTTATATGAGAAACCCAAACTATAAATAAAAAACAAAAGAAAAGAGGAAAGAGGGAGACAGATCATTTGCAAAAGGCAAGGGAACCAAGAGATGGGGGGAGGGATGAAAAAAGAATTAAGATGTGTTCTGTACATGTACCAACTCCCCACAATGAATGTAATCATTACGTACTGTAAACATGTACTAATAAAAATAAAATTCTGGGGGTAGGATTTAGCTCAGTGGTTCTGCCACCTGCCTCATAAGCACAAGGTCCCAAGTACAATCCCTAGTACCAAAAATAATTTAATTTTTTAAAAAGAAGTTTGGCTGGATTTATCAAAATGCAAACTTAACACAGAAACCCTAATGATGGAATGTGCCTTCTATCAATATGCCCGTGCACACATGTATGCACAATAGTGTTTACACTACTACTGTTTGTAGTGGCCATTTTATTTTATTTATTAATTATTGAGGCAGGGTCTTGCTATATAGCCCAGGCTGGCCTCAAACTCAAGATCCTCCTGAGTGTAGGGGTGGCGTGTGTCGCAGCACCAGGCCACAGACCACATTGCTAAGTACAGTGCATCCTTCCCATGAAATGAAGGCCAGCCATGAAAGAGAATGAGGGAAATTTAGACACACTGACCTAGAGAAAGATCCAAGTTGTATTATAGACAGAAAACAAAAACAAAACAAAACCAAAAAAATAAAAGAAAAATACACTGGATCCCACTTGTGTGAATGAAACTTGTGAGTATGCGTCTATAAAAGGCTCTTCCTTCTCCTTCCTCTTCAAGGGGATCAGTGAACAAGTCCCCCTGATGAGAAGTCCACATGCCACACAGTTCATTGTATCTTATCAGGGTCTGGACTCCAGCGTCAACGAGGGATGCAGAAATTGGTAACAAAGTCTTTGGAAAGCAGTTTAGACTGGCCACTTGTTTTATACATATATTCTACCCCCATGTACTTTATGTGCAAATTAGATTCAAGGAATCTAATAGATGGTACAGTATATATATATACAAATTAAAATTTTGGCTTAGTCATTACATTATTTTTTTCTAGACCATACAGCCCAGTTGACTTATGTTGAAGGGTTGTGTAAAGCAACTCTACCACAGAGATGACTCCCTCAAGTAACTTTCGCCAAAAAAAAATTACCTCTTCAATATTCCCTTTCAGCAGCTCAATCCGCGCATGATAAAACAACATGAGGGAGCCCTGCAGAGAAAGGAAGAAAGCACTGCTCAAGAGGCGATGCTGGCTGATTAATTATGGCTGAAACACACACTTGAAATACTAAGCATACATTTGGAAACTGCTGGAGGAAGGGTGCAAGGAGATTCTCTGCTTCCACAACATTCACTTCTCCTGTACCTAGAAATTTAACAGGAAAAGCCTCAGTCTTCAGGAAACATGGTAAGTACTTACAACTAACTCTCCCAATTTCATTAACAGATAGCAAAGACTATTGGCGGAAAAGATGAAAACTACTATTTTGTTGTTGCTGTCATTTTTAACTCTAGAAAATAAAGACAAGTCCCATCAATGACTGGATTTTAAGACAGCTCTAGAACAGATGAATTCTTTTTTTTTTTTTTTGGTACCGGAGATCAAACTTGGATCCTTGCACCTGTACAGCAGGCAGCAAAACCACTGAGCTAAATCCCAGGCCCAGATGAATTCTTAAGAATAGAAGTGGTTGGGCCGGGGATTTAGCTCAGTGGCACCATGCCTGCCTCGAAAGTGCAAGGTCATGAGTTCGATCCCCAGTACCAGGAAAAAAAAAAAAAAGAATAGAAGTGGTTAGCTTAGATTTCTAACTGGAGTTTCTGGTTTCAATATACAATATTAACTTATTTTAGCCAATATTTAATTTTCCACAGAAACAAATTTTATATGAATGATTAAATCAAGCACCTTAATGTGTACAGAAATTTTAACTGAGGATAAAAAATGTCAATGAAAGAAACAAGCACTCCCTCTGCCAAATGTCACTATGATAAATGTCACTGTTTTTCATGCTTACTCCAAAAGAAGTAAACAAAGACTACCAGCTCTTTTTTTTTTTAAGAATACCAGTTCTTACTGATTTTTCTAAATTTGTACTTATTCAGAGTAAAGATAAACAACTTTCAATGATAAGGCACGAAGTAAGGTAGACCGCAGACCGTACCAAGTATCAGAGAGATGTAGGTATGGAACGCCAGGATGGTGAGGCAACACAGCGGAGACCGCATGCTTCTCCCTGACGCACCTTCCCGAAGCTGCAGGAGGCCCAGCTCCTGTAGGAATCAAATGCATTTTAGAAAGACAAAATTATGACTAGAAAATTAGATTCAAAAACATTCACATGCTAATCCATAGTATCCCCATTCTCCCCAAAGGTGGGTTTATTTTTTTAAGAAAGCTTTATGGAATAGATGGCATTTATCTCAAACCTAATAGAGCAGCTCTTGAGAGAACATAACTTCCAGGGAAGCTGATTAGGGAAGATGTCCAAGTCAAAGCATAGCAGAAGCACAGAAACAGGACATGTTCAAGTAACCCCAACGGGCCACTTTAGAGGAGGTACTAGGAAAGTAAAAAGTTCAAGTAGTAAGGCTGAGAACACTAGCTACAATCAGACCATGGGGCCCCTGAAGCCATGTGATAGTCTGGACTTTATTCAAGAGGCAAACTAGAATCACAAGGAATACAGTGAAAGATGAATGGTTAAAGAGAAGAGTGAACAGCAGGACTGGGGAATGGGGAAAAAATAAGAATCAAGATATATAAAGGTACAAATCTCCAATGATGAATGTCATTATATTGTATACTGAAAATGTACCAATAAAATTTTTTAAATGGTGACAGTAATATAAAAACAAAAAAAGTCAAAATAGAACATTTCATCTGGGTACTTAGCTCAGTGGTTTCACCGCCTGCTGTGCAAGCAACAAGGACCCAAGTTCAATCCCCGGTACCAAAAAAAAAAAAAAAAAAACCAGAACATTTCATAAAAAGAGCACCATACATACATAATAGCCTATGAAATGGAAAAATTTCGTAGCTTCTAGTACTTGTTCTTATTACATGTCTTAAAATCTGCTTTTTGACTAACAGAGAAAGCTCTTGGGATACAGCAACTCTTGTAAAAGCATTTTGAATGTTGTGATCAATGTTACATATGCACTAAAAAAATTCATGGGAAACAAATTTCCTCACTTTGTTGTATAGTGAAACTTGTAAAAAAGAACAAATGGGGCTGGGGATTTAGCTCAGTGGTTCCACCGCCTGCCTCGCAAGCACAAGGACCCAAGTTCAATTCCTAGTACAAAAAAAAAAGAACAAAAGGAAATCCAAAATATTGCAACTGTGTTTGATCCGTGCTATTTCATCTGTTAGAATTATAAACTATTAAAGAAATCTAGCCTAATTTCTTCACTCTAAAGAAGATAACTGTGGCATTAATGAAATATTAAGGAAGGATATTTTCACCACTAAAGAGTAATAAAGATCCAGCAAGCAGCGTAATTTTTAACTCTAGAATTCAGGTAAGACAGGTGAGATTTTTAATTTTCAACAAAAAAGCCATGCCTAACTCCTGAAATGACCAAAAACCAATAGTTCTTTATTGGCCTGGAAACAAACTGCCTACAATTATCATGTCAGCTGTGAGGACATGTTAACACTGTCCTCATGTTTGGTAAATAATGTCTTATCTTCCCTGTGAAAGTAAGATAAAATTAAATTTATACCCTGTTTCCAGAAAATCCAATAAATTCTAGCAATCTGATAATCCTTGCTGGTAAAAGGGACAGCATCTGTAAGAAAAGAAATACAAGTGTATTTATGTGTTAGTGTATTTAATTGTAGACAAATAGCAAGCTGCAAATTATTTACAAGTTTTTATGCTTTAGTAATAAGAAAAATTAGAAATGAGTTTATTAAACCACTAGATAGGTCTCAATCATCACACTAATTAGTAATACTGTAATTATTATTTATGAATTAATGTCGTGACAATGAACCTAAAAAAACCACCTTTCTTCTAAAAAGGAAAAAAAAAGTGCCTGTTTTTTCCATAATTCTGTAAGGAACTTTTATGTGTAATGACTAAGTGACAAGAAAGCAATTCCTCAGCACCCATTACCAGACAAGGTTCCATTTAGATCCCTTTCCTGGAAAGTAAAAGTGGCTGTATTCTGGACACCAATGCGGGACCCACCTGGAAGCAGACGGCTCTAGCTCTGCTGCTTCTTTCTGGGGCATCCCCAAAGCCTCCAAGTAGGCAGAATCTGCAGCATTGCACCTGCTTAGACACTGTGCTCTGAAGCACAAGTGGCCGGATGTGCAAATGTGCAGATTCATGTGGAGTGGACATTTGTTTTGCCACATGATCAAGGATTTGACTGAAAATTTGGTGAAAAGGAAGCCTGGGGAAGAGGTTTGTGGACAGAACTCTGAACAGACAAAAAATATGAAGATATTTGTGTTCCACGTGGGCGCTGAGGATTTCAATGGCCAAGTGTGCAGGGTGACCCATTCTATGGGTACCGGTCACCCTCCTTCTCAAGCCGCCAGTCATCACACAACAGCCTCACAGTAAAGCAGCCACAGCAGCCCATGTACCTGTGTGCATGATTCTCTACTACTTTATTTTCTCACCAATTCCAGTCAAACCTTAATGAAATTTCTAAATCTCTAAGTATGTAAGAATTTTTTCCCTAAGACCTTCAGACTGAGCTATATCCCCAAGCCTTTTTTTTACTTTTAAGACAGAGTCTTGCTAAGTGGCCCAGATAGGACCCTAACTTGCAATTCTCCTGCCTCCAGCCTCTGCCACCATGCCTGGCTTAGACCTTAACAGATTTCTATTCAGACTTTATAGCTTCCCAAAGATCATCAAAAAATCATTCCTCAAGTTATACAGACTCTTGCTTATTTTCAATTCCAGAGCCTCCACTGTCATAGCAACACTATTTCTGGTAAGGAACTGGAACTAGATTCCAAGTTCCTTGTTACTTAAAACCTCACCCATACATGCAGAATGCTCTCCCTTCCCTTCCTTGTACAACCCAAAGCTATTCTGAGCACACGCAGAACTCTGCAATACCACAGGAAAACTCACCCACTTCTGCCATGTAACAAACCAGGTGGAGGTGTAGGATGAGGTTCGAATGCAACAGAGAACCTTGGGTTCTTCTACAAAAAGGTTCTGGGTTCTATATAATTATTTCCTTACCAAATTAAAGGCCCCTGTTCCAAGCTTGACGCCCCCTTCAAACTCATAGAAGAACTCTTGTTCATGTTTGTTCTTCTGAATTACATGCAGAATAGAAAGACATTCTCTGGATTGAAAAAAAAGGTATAGTGTAAGTTTCCTATGACTCTGAAAATAAATGTTAAATCAAATTTCATGCTTACACACTATAAATGTCATCACACATAATACTACAGAATTTTTAAATGGATCACCTTATGCTGTCTTTACATTGAAAGCTACAGAGCAGTAATCATTCAGGAAAAAAGGGAAACCCATTTTTACAGTGTTTAGCAGGACCACTCTTTCTGAGCTTAAGGAAACAGAGGGCTCGAACATCAGCAAGCATAAGCCAGGCACCACAGGGCCAGAGCTCCTCACCCGAACAGCTTCCCAGCGGCCATTCACAGGAGTTCCCCGGGTGCTCAGTTCCTCTCAGCTATGCTCACTGCAAACCCCACCCTCCACTGAGAACTGAGCTGCTGCTAGCAGAGAACTGAATTTCAGTGCAACTTCCAGGGTCTCAGGTAGACCAGGTAAATTAGAACTTGTAAGTGGGAAAGACTGAAAGAAGAAACCAAATTCCATCACAACTACATCATCTTTTTATTTTTTCCTGCTCTAGCTATGCACATCTTTCTAATTTCTCTCTTTAATTTCTCTTCTATATACAGTTAAGTCTTCAATTTACAAACATTTGAGTTGCAAATTTTCACAGGTGTACTGTATTAAGACATACTTTGTAGGTTAAAAATGAATCCGACCTAAAAACGTTCTTCCGGAATGGAATTCGTTCATAAGTTGGGGATTTACTGTATTTCTCTCTTTTCCATTCACATCATCTTCTAAAAGCAAATATTTAATCACAGGAATACAAATTAAAACAATGACCAAGATATAAAAATTGGTATTGAGAATTGCTTATCGAGTGGACAAATACATTTTTTAAAAGTAATAAGGAATAATGAGACATGTATCACCTAATATGATGCAACTATATAAAACACGAAACTTCACTTACAATGGTTTTCTGGCCAAATACATTTAACCTGAATCTAGCCAGTTTAGAGACCTCAGTTAATAAGAACCACAACGGCCACAGGATTCCATTTAGACTCCCACCAACCCATGAGCTTGCCATCCAGTCACTGGGCTATTCACATCATATTTCCACTTCGTTGTTTATATGGTGCACTGTCACCATAATTAAATTATGAATGTTTATGTGGCCAGGTTAATCTCTTATGGTTTCTGATTTTGTCATACCTAAAAATGGCCTTTAAAATTGACATCATTTGCCCACTAATATCACTTCTATGATATTTCTGCTGTAAATTCATACCCTAAATTCTATCACTAAGCAACATCAGGTTAAGTTCACATTGAAAGATGTCCTATGAAATAACTGCCCAACATTCATTTAAAATGCCAGGGTCATGGAAGACAAAGAAAAACAGAGGAACGTTCCCAGATTAAAAGAGTAAGGAGACCTTACAGCTAAATGCAACACCCAACATCCTAGGGTAGATCCTAGACCAGAAAAGGAGCATTGGTGGACGACTGGAGATTTGTGAGCAAGGGCAATAGATGACATATTGTGTCAATGCTGGTTTCCTTACCTGAGTAATTGTACTGCGGTTCTGTAGGGTGTTAGCAATATGAATTTTTCCCCCCTGGTTCCGGGGATGGAACTCAAGACCTTGTACTTGCAAGGCAGGCAAGGCGCCACTGAGCTAAATCCCTGGCCCATATGAAAATTCTTTGTAATAACTCTGAAATTATTTCAAAGTAGAAAATTTAAAATAAAAGTTCAAGAGCTTTATTTTAGGACTATAAAAAATATTTTGTTCTCTAATGATCTTTTAAAATATTTTAATATTAAATCTATATGGCCTTTTTTTTCCTTAAAACAAAGTCAACTTTATCAAAAATATTTATTTAAGATATTTGTCTCTTGGGCCAGGGATTTAGCTCAGTGGTTTCACCACCTGCTGTGCAAGCGCAAAGACCCGAGTTCAATCCCTGGTTCCAAAAAACAATTTGTCTCTTTTCACTATTTTGAAAGACATCCACACATATATAGGGATGTATTTTTGAATTCTCAAGTAAATGTCTGTGTTTATATGTACATAACCACATGTCTGCACACATATCCATGTAGTCTGTTTCAAAACCCTGTGATCCAATCCAGTGATATGCCTTTGACATAATAGCATTATTTTAATTATTTTGGTTATTATTTTAATTCATTAAGTTCTGCTGACTGAAAAAGTAATCTTTTAGCCTTCTTGTCTTCTAAAACAATACTTGAAAGCTGGATGTGGTGGCACATACTGGAAATCCCAGCACAAGGGAGGGTGAGGCTGGATCTGGCTCAAGAGGCTGAAGATCATCATGAGTTAGAGGCCAGGCTGGGCTACACAGTGAGTTTGAGGCCAGCCTAGACTACATGGTGAGAATAAAAATAAATAAAAAAAAATAATACATGAAGAAGAAATCTAAAAACAGTACATCAGGTTCCCAAACTCTACAAGCCCTCCCCACCACCTCTGCAGGACTTGAGTGGGACACAAATTTATAAAACGATTTTAGGTAAAAGTAGCTCTTATACTAACTGTTAACTCTGCCTCCATGGCAGGTCAGCTTATGTTACATTAACTCTTCCACAGATTAATAATTATAAATTCTCAAACACATGCAATCTATATATTTGAAGTATCTTCTACAGTTTTATAAATGAAGGAAAAAACAAATAGGCAGAAGCTAGAGAAGAGCCAAATTTCAAAGCAGGGTTAACTCTTGAATGAACATTACATTTGTATGGCTATGCACCTGAAAGCATGCCTATTCTATTCAGAGTGGGTTACACGAGTTCAAACAGAAAGCCACAGTTTTACTGGCTTAAAAATCAGAGTACAGAACTCAAGACTGCCAGAGTGGTGTTCAGTAACAGAGAAATTTCCATATCTGGAGGACCCACATAGATTGGAAACTCAAATCTGTGTTGAAACACTCAAATTCTTGGCTGACCCATATACTATGTGAAGACTAGGGAAATTGCAAGGAAAAGCAGAAACAAGACAGGAAAAATAATGAAGCAGAGATTTCAGGTGCTGCTCACCCCAAGAACAAGAGGTTGCAGTCCATATCTGGGCAAATTAAATGCTTCTTAGGACAAAAATCTACACTGTTCAGAGAGGAAGGATAACAGAATTCAGAGGCTCTGTTATAGCTCAATATCTAAAGTACAATTTAAAAAATTATTGGACACAAGAAGAAACAAAAAAAACACATTTTGATACACACAAGAGAAAAAGTGGTCAATAGAAGCTGACTCTAAGTGACCCAGATATTAGGTACTCTCCAAATTGAAAATCAAAAAATTGTTTTTAACAAAGAGCAAATCAGCAACACATTAAACAGATTAGGCAGGCTAATATATAACTGGAGTCTCAGAGAGGAAACAGTGAAAATGGGGCAGAAAACATAGTAGTGGTTTGGTTCATGAACTTAATTCATTCCACAATTCTAGAAGAAATGGCCACATTCGTGTTCATGTGGGAAAGATGGCCATGGTCATGTTTGTCACTCAATGCAGAGTTCACAAACCAGAACAAAAATTTTCCAGACATGTCTGTTTGTGAACCCATCTGTTCAAAAACAAAATTATCTGTGAACCAAGGTCCTACTGCAAATATTTGAAAAAATAACGACAACAAATTTCTCAAAACCACACTTAGATTTATCACAGTTAAACTGCAGAGATTCAAAGATACAAAAGTCTTCAAAAAGAGGCCAGAAGAAATGTTACTAATATCAGGTAAGGAAAACAATACAAATGACAACTGATTTCTGATTACAAACAACGGAGGCCTTAATACAATGAAATGGCAATTTTAAAGGGTTGGAAGAAGAAAAAAAATATCCTTAAAAATGAAGGGAAAAAGTAAAGGCAATTTCAAATAAATGAAAATAGAATTTGTTGAAGCAGACATATATGATAAGATGCTAAACTCTGAAAGTAATCAAGTATAAATGAAAAATATAAAAATGATGAACATTTAGGAAAATAGAAGACTATAACACATGATTATTTAAAGCAAAAGTTTGACACAGTATTAGAGATTTTTAATATATATGAGTACACCATGTATCATAAGAATAGTATAAAAGACAACAGGTAGAAAATGAAACCATACTTGCGCCAAGTTCATGTATTTTATGTGCAATGGAACAATATTAACTCTAAGATAAGTTTAAAATCACATATAATCACTACCACAACTGCCAAAAAAATGAGATATAATTAAGAAGACAATAAAGGATTATACTAGAATTTTAAATTTTTTATTAAAGCAAAAGAAAACTGGAAAGGGGCCGGGATTTAGCTCAGTGATTCTGCCGCCTGCCTCGCAAGCACAAAGTCCCAAGTTCAATCCCCAGTACCAAAAAAAAAAAAAACAGGAAAAATGGAGAGGGACAGGTGAGACAAACAGAAATAGTGGTAGTTACAAGTATAAACATACCAGTTATTCAACTCTGTGCATCTATAAGATATGCAATTTAAATATTTAAAAGAGACTTAAAAGAATATATACTATGCAAAGAAAATTGCTCAAAAAATATGAGCCAGCACAGTGATACATGACTGTAATTCTAGCTCCTCAGGAGGATAAGATAGAAGGACTGCAAGTGCAAGGCCAGCCTGGGCAACTTAGCAAGACCTTGTCTCAAAATAAAACTTTAATAAAAGGGAAAGGGATGTAGTACAGTGGTAAAGCAACCCTCAGTTTGATCTCTAGTACTAGAGGGAAAAAAAGCCATGAGTAGCTAGATCAATATCAGAAAAAAATAGATTTCAAGACAAAGACTATTACCAGAGTTAAATGGGGACGTTTCATAATATGAATGTTAAACTGATTAGGGAAACAAAACAACTATTAACATATATGAGCCTAACAACAACGGACCTAAACATATAAGGCAAACACGGACAGAACTAAAGCAAGAAACGCATGATTCCACTTTGAAAATTGGAGATTTTAACATTCTCAGTAAATGACAGAAAAACTGGATAAAAATCAGTAACTATAGAGAAAATAAGATAAGAAAAACATTATGAGCCAACCTCAGTGAACATGTCCATCCTCTGCTGAAAGTTTTGTTGGGTAGAGCTACTCTAAAAATCTGTACCAAAATACACCTGTCATTTGAAATGTATAAATTGTTCTTAGGAGATAAAAATTAAGATTATATGATCAGAAATTATGTCAAGCCATTTTCTCTTCCACTATTTTGCTCTTAAACTGTAAATTGTTATTCTGCAGCACAGAATACATAAATCAAAAATCAAGTACATTTTTACTAACACCAAAATGAAAAAATAAAACTAGTCAGAGTAAACTTAAAACTTTCAAAAAACAAAGCAGTATAAGCACAAGAATCATGTAAAACCACATTTTACTTTTTAACTTACTTATATATTTGGTAACTTGTTCTAATTTTCAATCCACCTTTGATGAAGTTGATCATATTTTCATCCTGAAAATAATTCAATAATTAGAGCACTTAGTAAAAAATTTTAAACTATCCTGACAGTTGCATATTTGTGTAATTAGAAAAAAAATATTTTGAGGACATAATTTTTCAATTATGCAAGATATAGCATGTACAGGTACAAATTCCCTATGATGAATGCTATCATTACGTATATCTAAAATGTACCAATAGGGCCGGAGATTTAGCTCAGTGGTTCCGCCACCTGCCTCGCAAGCTCAAGGACCAGAGTTCAATCCCCAGTACCAAACAATAAAATAAAATCAAATGTACCAATAAATGTTTTGCTTCAAAAATAAACAAATAAAATTAACACATTCGTCTTGCTTTATATTTGAAATGCCTTTTTGTTATTTTTCTTAAACGTTAGAAGACAAAAAGAAAAAAATTTTTAAATCATTGCATTACTTTTTATTTCTGAGGAAGTAAGCCTTACTAATCAGGGGCCCAATGAAGTTCAAACCTACACCTCATCACTTAACTGATCAATTTTCTTCTGGTTTCAATAGAATCTAAAACAACTGACTTTAAGGATCCAAGGCCAAACTTTCTAGTTCACCATACCAAGTAAAAGGGTCTATTTCACAGGGTACTTGAGCAGGTGGTCTATTTAATATTGTGAATTTCATTCATACACATTTCCAGATCAAAAATACCTGGTCTGAATATTAAAATGCTTGTCACTAATAAGCAATTCTGTTTTAGTGGGGTTCAGGGTGGAAATCACTTCTTCTCTTTGTCTAAAGATCATGACTTAACTATAAAATTGAAGAAGCTGGTCTAGATGAATGCCATTTTCATAATCAGCATTCTAAGAGAGTCTCTTAATGATTACATTAAGTAACTACCTAAAGAAGGTCACCCTGATAGTGCTAATGGACACAGACCAGTGCTCCACACTTCCAGGCACACGCCTGTAATCCCAGCACTTGAGAGGCTAAGAGGATCTCCACAAGTTCAAGGCCAGCCTGGGCTCTACAGTGAGTTTCAAGGCCAGCCTGAACTACACAGTGAGACCCTGTCTCAAAAAACAACAAAAGTGGAATTTTTTCAGTTAGACTAAAATCTGACTCTAGAGTATTTCATTTCATAATTCACCAGACATTTACTGAATGCCTATTCTATACCATGCACCTTAATGTAAGAACAAACAAAAGCAATGCAGTGCTATGGGATGGAAGCACGCATAGGGGTGGAGGCACGCACAGAATGAGAGCAAGAAGAGAGCCAGAAAAGTCTCCTGGAAGCACCCAAGCTTAAAGCACCAAAAAATGACTGGAAGGAGCTAGAGAAAGGGGGCAAAACAGAGGCAAACACTGCAAACAAGAAAAACTCAGGTGGAAAGGCCGGAAAGTCATGGTGTGCCTGGCCACCTGTGTGTATATACATCAACCCTGCTGAAGAATCTACTGCGAAGAAGGGAGTGGCCAACAGAGAGGAAAGCCACCTCTACCTGTGCCACACAGACCCCAGTCAGCAGCACCTGAGCACATTTGTAAGTGAGGGATTTGGTAGGAGGCACCAGTTCAGTTCAAAACATCTTCCCCACCTGTGATACTCTGACACAGACACTGCCACTGTTGATGCAAGCTACTAACTACTGAAGCACCAAAGGACAAGGTCAGAGTCCTACTTCTGAAAGGGTTCGCAATTTCAGAATAAGGAATGAGTTGAAGGTAAAAATAAATTAAGGACAGAGTTGAGAGACTGCTTACAGTCCAGGCCCGGCAAAAGCTGCTAAGCATTTCTACTAGAACAATGGTCAGAACAGACAGGAAGAGACAGTGCTTCAAAACTGTTAAAGATTAAAGCAGCATGAATATGAAAATGACTGGATGTGGGGTCATGATGAAGTGAGAAAAACCACAGATATCTCTAATGTCTCATTTCAAGTCAAAAGATTTAAAATAGGGGCCGGGGATTTAGCTCAGTGGTTCCGCCACCTGCCTCGCAAGCGAAAGGAACCGAGTTCGATCCCCGGTACCAAAAAAAAAAAAAAATTTAAAATAAGCTTTAAAATCTAATGTCTGACTGTCAAATCCCTATTTGGAAAATACAATAGAAAAAAAAAAACTTGGGGCCTCTGTCACCAGCAGAATAATGTCCTAGCCTATACTGTGACTGTTGTTATCAACCAGCCTTTGTAAAATACAAAGCCTTAGGGAACACCACGGGGATTCAATTTTACTAAACCAGAGTACAACCTAAGACATCAATTTCCAGAAAAGAATAGAAGCCACTCTCAAAACAATGAAGAAGATTGAACTTAAAATACTTCCCATCTTACAGTTGCATTTTCTTCTGCTTCCTTATAATCTCGACCCCACCCCTACAGTCACCACTGCCACACGAGGCCACCACGTGAACATCTATGCTTCCTCAGTACTGGAGGATGCAGACATAGGAAAGATATGAGTGTAACCGTTCTTAGAGGTGAAATTAAAGAGTCTCATAAAAATAATCCACTGTTTTGTTCAGTGACTTTAAAACTCTTCTTCCAAAGGAAAAAATAAAAACTCAAAAGAAGAATGAGAACAGAAAGTGGGAGAAAAATAAACCCGAAGGATGCATGAAAGTGTGCCTATCTATGCACACATGATGAGCTTTGCTGCAGCCTGTGGTCCAAAAAAAGGGACGCTGTGGGTGAGGAGCCTCCTCCGCTGGCCTCTCTTGTGAAGGTCCTCCACCCCTTCAAATGCAGACTGGAACAACCTCACAGTGGTGTCTACACAGAGAAGTAAGATAGCATTTGCAAGGTAATTTCTTTAGAAGTAAGTGATTCCCAGTAGACTGAAAAACTTGAAATAGATTATGCATTTGAATAGGAACAAAGCTCTCTTGACTCTTTTATCAGAGAAAGCTTATCAAAGTAACAAGTAGATTTCATTACCACTCTTAAGTCTAATGAACTAGAGCACCAACACAGAAGGGACCATATGGTTCCATGGAGTATTTCAGGTAATACCAATTCTAAGCCAAATGTTCATTACCTGCACAAATGTGAGCGCTGCTTTCTGTAGGAGACACTCGGCGTAACAGATTTCAGCATGCATTTCCTCTATTAAAAGCAAATAAAATTATATTAAGGAAAATCTGACATCCACAGTAATTGCTCTGAAATGTCCAGAAGACTGGTAGATAAATGAACCTGAGAGAGACACAAAAACCTAGGTTGCTTTGGTGCTTCCATAAAAAGGAGAACGATAACATGTTCTTGGTCCTACCACAGAATTTCTCGACAAAGTGTGAAACGTTCGGGGAAGTCCTCACTGGTCCCACTCAAATATAAACGCAGAGTCAGATACTTGGTGTCAAGAGACCCAAATTCAACTTGTAAGGGGAAACCAAAATTTAAAAGTCTTTAAAAAAAAAAAAAGAAAGAAAACCAAGCTGGGTGTTGTGGTTCATGCCTATAATCCCAGCACTCGGGAGGCTGAGTCAGGAAAACTGCCATGAGTTCAAGATCAGCATGGATTACACAGTGAGTTCAAGTCCAGCCTGAACTACACAGCAAGATCCTGTCTCAAAAAAAACAAAACCAACAAAAAAACCAACCAACAAACAAAAAAGACCCAAAGGAAAAGAGATCCACTTTTTAACAGTGATGTGAAAAATTTAAGAGTTATGAAGACTGAAAAAAAATTAAATTTATGAATTCTAGCTTCTAAACTATGAAGGAAAGGGAATCATGACAATGACTACACTTTTATTCATCTGAAAGGAAAGCAGCAACTCTCTAGGGTTCTCTGAAAAGGCACCACCCTGCACACCCAAGCCAGGACTCCACAAGCAAAAGAAGACTTGACACCAAGTCAGATTATCCCACTTCACAGTTATCTGATCATTCAGATGTCTAGCACAAGTAAGGATACTCAAAAAGGGGACCTGAGGGCCGGGAATTTAGCTCAGTGGTTCCACCGCCTGCCTTGCAAGCACAAGGTCAGGAGTTCTATCCCCAGTACAAAATGGGGGGGGGGGGCATGAGAGCTATGCACAGCCCAAGAATATGTAAACTGGCCCAAAAGACAGGCCCTGTCTTCCTAAACAATTCACTGTATGTGAAGAAAGCAAGGACATAAACCTTTGCATTTTTGCATAAACAAAATCAGTAGATTCCCACTTTCTCCATGGGACACAAATTGGCACGCCAGTTAAGAAAATGAGCTTGGAGGAAAGGCTCTACCACGTACTAGCTATAGGACCTTGTATAAGCTACCCTTCCTCACTCTGCTGGTTTCTTCATTTATAAAGTTCACTAATAATGTCATTACTTTGCAGCTGAAGAATTAAATGAGGCACTGTAGTACAATTTACCATACACAGTAAGCACTTGAGGGCCGAGGATTTAGCTCAGTGGTTCCATCACCTGCCTCGAAAGTGCAAGGTCCAGAGTTCGATCCCCAGTACCAAACAAAAACAACAACAACATAAAACACAGTAAGCACTTGATAAATGTTGGCTACAAAGGGGCTGGGGATGTAACTCAATGGTGCCGTGCCTGCCTGGCAAGCGCAAGGTCCTTAGAGTTCAATTCCTGGCACAGAAAAAAAAATGTTAACTACAAGGATCACTGCCCCCATCATGTCAGTGCTTTCTAATAAAAGCTGACAGTAGAAAACATTTTTTTTTTTGGTACCGGGGATCGAACTTGGATCCTTGTGCTTGCACAGGAGGCAGCGAAACCACTGAGCTAAATCCCTGGCCCAGAAAACATTTTTATAGCAAGTAATTGATGGAAAAAGTGTATTTCTGTGTCACTGGAAATGCTGTTAATCAAACTAGGTAAGAACATGTTTTTTCTTTCATTTACACACACACAACCCACTGGCTCTCATATATGGGTTCAACTTCTTGCCTTGCTCATATTCCAAATATTCAATTTACAAAGAAGCAATTATGCACCTAAGATCCCCAACAGCTTGCTGACAGCCAGGGCTGCACCCCTGCCAGGCAGAACCTGAGGACATACAGCCACCTGCACACAGGCTGCCCGGCAGCATGAAGTCACGGTCACAGTTCTCCGAACCGAACCTCAAAGTGTGTCTTTTATTTTTCTCATTGCCTTCAGTGGGGTACAAACCAGGGCTTTAGTCTTACTGAGTCACCTAGGTAACTCTGTAACAAAGTGAGAACTCTGAAAATCAGCCTGGGAACAGACTGCTGAAAGGGGACACATACAGAGGAGAGGACGTCAGGGCCAGTCAAGGGCAGCAGGAACCAAAGCGTGGAGCAAGGAAAACCCAGGCTCCTTTGGGGTAAGGGCAGCGGGTGGCCCTGGCTGGGAGAGGGCTATGAGGCTTGAAAGGTCAGCTGAGGCTGAATTATGACTGTCTCTAAATATCAGTCTGGGCTTGATTCAGTAGACTTTGCTGAGATCTGAGCAGAGGGTGAAGAAATCAGGGTAAGCAAGTAACAAAAGAAGGCAACACAGAGGACATGACAGGAAAGCAGAGATAACAGGCACACAAGTGGGAACTCTGTACTCTGAGTGTATGTATTCTTCATGTTCAATCCCTCTCACATTCTAGCCACTGCATTTAAATACTTCTTTCCTTTTTTTGGTACTGGGGATCAAACTTGGGTCCTTGCGCTTGTGAGGCAAGCGGCGGAACCACTGAGCTAAATCCCCGGCCCTTAAATACTTCTTTTTAAACTCAATTTCAAACCCAGTCTCTGCAATCCACGGCCTTGAGAGAAGAGCAGGTGTGTTCCACATTAAGCTCATGAACAGCTTAATGAAATATACTCAACTCCTGCAGACAACCTAATGGTGGAGGATGTAAATGAAAATTACCAAGAGTAAAACAAATCACATACTAAAGCTACAATGTTTTGACATGCTCCCGTGAACACAAAGTCTGTTTGGGTTATAGTAACAGCCAAACTTACTGGGAATAAATGTAACTTATTTTATAAAAGTCTTACATTTCTTTGTGATTGATTTATATTGGGCAGTTTCTTAGCTCTCAATATCAGTCATTGGGCATTTATGAGTAGACATGTGCCAGAATGTGTCTTTTTTTAAATACATGTTTGAAGTACATAGTTATTACATTTATCGTGGGAGTTGTACATAATAGTGCTCTGAAGGAAATAAATTCATGAGGCACTGAAATGTTAACTAAGCATAGCTTTTAGGTATAAAGTCTAAATAAACATATTTATGTTTAATTAGTAAAAAGCAATTTTTTACTTTATTCCAGATTTCCTAAAATGTGCTGTCGAAACACATTAACATAGTAACAGATAACATAGTATCACTTATTTTCAAGATTTTTAACACAGGAATAATTCAACATTTCCGTCATATATAGGCAAGATATTTTGTACCCACCTGTAGGAGAAAGTGTGGGTTCAGTGGAAAGACTTGTGGTTTAGGAAAAGGCAGATCAAGTTTAACCCTGCTCTGATATACAGGTGACCCTGGCCACTTATGTATTCTCTCTCAACACCAGACCATGATCTACAAAGAGCAGGTTACACAGATTAGATTGGTTAATGCTAAAGAAAACACCAAGAAAAGTTTGTGGTTCTTGTTGTTGTTGTTTTGTTTTTGTTTTGTTTTTGTTTTGCACGCAGGTGGTTTAACGGAACAAAACCTGTAATAAAGGAATCTTGTATGAGAGTAGGGAAAGCAGGACTGGGCAGAGAAAGAGCTGAGAAATTTTGTTTAATTTTTGGCAAAGATTAAATATTATTGGATATATCTTTTTTGGAGGGGCTACTGGGGATCAAACTAGGGACCCTGAAGTTGTGAGGCAGGCAGCGGCACCGCTGAGCTAAATTCCCGGCCCAAAGATTAAATACTATTAAAGGTCTCATAAAAATAAAACCATTTACAATTCTAGTGTTTAAGATCTAGCTGCTAACATGAAAATTCAGTACCATATTTCATGTATGTTTGACACAATATTTTTTGATCTTGTCTAGTCTTTAGCATTTTGATTATGATGTGTCTAAGTGGGAATTTCTTTGTATTTATCCTTTTCAGGTTTCGCTGAGTTTCTTGAATCTGTGTGGTCTGGTCTTTCAGCAAATTTGGGGATTTTCAGATATTATCTCCCCAAATATTTTTCAGCTATTGGGACTCCCGTGAGGAGAATGTGAGAGCTTTTGTGCCATAAGTCCCTGAGGCTGTGCTCATTTTTGCAACCCATTTTCTCTCTGATGTCAAAATTGGGTAATCTGCATTGATCTTCCTCTGATCTACATTCTGTTATTGAACACATTCACTGAGCTTTTTTTTAAATCTTGGATACTGTACTTTTCAGTTCTAAAATTTCCTTTTGATTGTTTTTGTATCTTCTATTGTCTAAATTTTCTAGTTTTCCATTTGTTCCAAGAGTGTGCTCATAACTCCTTGTGGAATAGTTGCTTTAAAATCTCTGTCAGATAATCTCAACATTTATGTCACCTGGGTGTTAGTATCTATTGATTTATTTTCTCATTCAAATTCAGATTTTCCTTGTGGCTTTTCTAAGTAATTTTGTATTATATCTTATAAATTGTGTGTTATGAGATGGTGGTTCCTGTTTAATTTTTTCCCACTTTATTAAGTGCATACTGCTTATACAAATTAACAAGTTTCATTCTGGCAGATTTGTGCATGCATATAACATACCTTAATCATCCCCTCCAAGTAATCCCCCTTGCCCTAACCTCCTCCTTAGTTTCACATTTTTGCAGGGAGGTTTCAACACATATGCATTTTCATCATTTTTTTTTTTTTTTGGTACCAGGGATTGAACTCGGGTCCTTGCGCTTGAGCAGCAGATGGCAAAACCACTGAGCTAAATCCCTGGCCCTGATCATTTTTTAAATCATATCTTTTTTTAAATGAGGCATTATTGTTATTGTTTTTAAATTATTATTTACATTCACACCAAAAATACCATGTCATTCTTCCTAAAACTAAGGTAAAAAAAAAAAATCACCAATGTCACTTTCATACTACAAAGAAAAAGGGAGGCAGGATCACTGGGCCCAGAGAGAAGCCATATAAAAAGTAACAAAGGGGACTACAAGTGTTAAAGAGTCAGATTTCTTGGGCGCCTATTTAACCTCCCACTGACCCTCCCTGGAGGACTTCAATCCTACTAGTGCCAATTTTCATTTGTTTTCCCTCACATCTGACAGCTAATGTACTGACACTGTAACAATATCTGAGAGAGGCACATCTAATGCATATGGCATAAACACACACTCATTTTTAGTCCTATAGTACTTGGCGGTCAGTTTCTGGAGACAAAGAAGATGGGTTTCAGCTGCCTGGAGTGACCAATGAAATATCATTTAGTTCTATCGTGGTTTGGAAGTCAACATTATATTCTCCTAGAACAAGCCCTGAAGATGTGAAATTTGTCATAATCCTCTTCACAATCAATACTCTAAACTCACACCATGCAAATGGTCCCAAGTTCTCTAGTTTCCATAACAAGCTGATAGCATTTGCCTAACAAAATAAACAAAACTTTGTAATAAAACATAAAAATGTGTGTCCCATTTTTCCTTGACCATTAAGAATACCTCTGACAGCAATTTCCGGAACTGTTCTTGCTTTAATTAACCAGACCTAATGCTAGTGTTTTGTTTCTTCCAGAGAACAAGCTGGATGATGAAAACATAAGCACAAATTCTCCTAGTATGGTAGAGACTTTTGAAGGACATACTGTCTTCTATAGGATAACCTGCATGCTCCTTCTGGTAAGCCTTTCTTACTGGAGTACAACATTAATAAAATAGGGCTGATCTTGAAATTTTTACTGTAATCTCTATAGGCATTCTTCAGTGTCTGATTTTCTTAAATGTCCATAAATTAAACACCTTCCATTCTGTGAAGCATTTTCACTTTTTAAAAGGTATCAAAGTCACTTTGTCTTGGGAAAAAATTTGAACAGACTGTAGGAAAACTGAAACTCTAATAGAAGGATGATTAAAATATAAGATAGTTTTTAAGTTTTATAGAAAAAAGCCAGGCCAGGGATTTAGCTCAATGGTTCCGCCGCCTGCCTCGCAAGTGTAAGGTCCCAAGTTTGAACCCTGGTACCAAAAAAAAAGAAGAAAAAAGGCAATACTTGTAAATATTTTAAATTTTCAAATCATCTAACCTAGTAATTCTACTTTTAGAACTCTACCCTATGGAATATTTGAAAAATGCATGAAAACACAGGTACAAGAATTTTAGAACAGCACTACTTGTTAACAGTGAAAAAATAAAAACTATGTAACAGTCCTCTGACAGAGAAAAAGCAAGTAAATTAGGATATAGCCATCCTATGTAATAATACCTACTACATAGCTGTGAAAACACTACAAAGTATATTTGTATGTACTGACCTGGGAGAACATCATATTGTGGAACATGCATGATATGACTCTATGCTTGCATAAAGTGAAGAACACAAGAACAGTAACACAAACTCTGTGTGTTCCCTAGATGTACTTTTGCATGTGCTCACTGTAAAGCCTGCACAGCTTCAAAATCAACCATTAATGATGGTTACTCCTGGGGGTGAGTGTGATGGGGAAGAGAAAAGCACATTCCATTTTCTTTCTATATTTCAGTACTGAACTTTATGAACAAATGCACTCTTTCATTTGTTTAAAAAAAGGAAGCATTAATCATGAGAATGATTCTTACCTTCACTCAGCTGTTCTAGTGATCCTCGAGAAAGGAGACTCGAGAAAGATTCTACAACTGTGCATTTTTTCCTGTATCTGCATTGGACAGAAGGGAAGATGGGAACCGAAAGAAAATATCAACAAATCAGACTGAGCCCATTTGCACGTGACATTTATTCAGTCACGATCGCACCAAAGAGTCACTAGCTAGAACCCTAAACCCTGAGTATTCAGGGCAGAAGCCACCTTCTTCCAACAGTGCACAACCGGCTCTTGGCACAGCGCTGGCAACTGCGGACACTCAATCCATGTCATTACACACACATGTGGACACACACACACGCACCAGTCAGCACTAACCCTATAAGGTACCTTCCCTTACCTCCATGGCTAAAACCAGTATTTCTCTGGTGAGAGTATCCACCAGTTAAAATTTAGACCTAAAGTACACTATTTGGAAATGCTCTCATTTGAATGACTCACAATATAATTGCCTAAGGATTAATTTTACCCATGTTAATATTCACCAATACCAGTAATATCTTCTACTAGGGCTTTCCTAGGCACACAGTAAAGCTTAAAATAAAACTAAAGAAATCTACCTCATTTCACTCATCAAAATTGGCCAAATATGACTGACCATCTTGGGTGAATGAACATTCTCTCCTGAACCTGCGCATCCCCCACATAAACAGCTAGCTATGCCCTTGCTCGACTTGGCATGGCACGAAGCACTGCTACTCTCATCAACCTGGGAAGTCCTCAAGAGATGCCTACAGCTAACCCCCCTGAGCCCTCCTCAGACTTTCTCCATGGCTCAGGTCCCAAGCTATCAAAAACAAAGTAGAAAGGTCAAGGGTGGTGGTACACGCCTGTAATCCCAGCACTCCAGGAGGCTGAGGCAGGAGGACTGCAAATTCAAATCCCATCTGGGCAATTTAGCAAGATCCAGCTCAAAAATTTTAAAAGGACTGGAGATGCAGCTCAGCGTAAAGGTCCTGGACTCAATCCTCAGTACCAAAACAAAGGAAATACAGATGGCAAACAGGAACCATAAAACAATTCCCATTAAGAATTTCTTTAACTATATTATATGAAACTGCATGAGCCCAAGAAGCTTTGAAGCTAAAGTCCTTTTCTTTTTGCTTTTCCTTTTTTTTTTTTTTTCAGTACCAGGGATCGAATAAAATCCTTTTCTGCAGCTCTGTCCAACCTCCACCACAGAGCTCTCAGTCAGGCAGACAGCACCCATTTTGTTACACAGGCGTAAGGGTTTGGACTCTTATCTCAAACACTGAATCCCTGGGTCTTACTTCTGGCAGGTTTGCAAGGCGTCCTTCATGGCAGAAATGCCATTTTGAATGTCCTGCTGCTCAAAAGTCATGACAGCCTGCAGCACCACAATGGTACTGTAGCCCAAAGCGTGGTACATACTCTCCTTGGCCCTGGGGAGAACACAGGAAATCAGTTCATCTCAACTCAACAGGAAAAAAGAAACATTCCAGGTTTTGTCAGATGCTAATCCTAGGAAATCCTAGTAAATACATACCCTGACTTTCACAGAAGCAGCCTTTACTCCTTTACCACAATCACTGCAATGACATGGACTGAGAAAGGTACGCTCTTAAGCACTCAGGAAGCAAGGGCTTTCCGATTCAAACCCACTACGGGCTGAACAAAAGGCTCAGGCTGAAGCACGAAGTAGAAAGCATGCTTTTCCCTGCTTCAGCACAAGGGGGCAGCCTCCGGACTCATTTCCTAAGAAAAGTTTCAAAGCAACCAATTTTTCCCAGTTGAGCAAGAGGCAATGTATTAAGATCTGAAGTAAAATAAAATTAAGGCTAGTGGAAATGTATTTTGTGACAGATTCTGATATGTTTTTGAAGTAAAAAGGATCTTTTAAAGGCATGCCCTCTCCTCTCCAGCCAAAGGCCAAGAGGAAGCAAGATTTTTGCAATCAGATTAGCCACAAAGGACAAAGCAGATGCTTGAAACTTCCATTTGATCTAATTGAATTATCAGAGATTCCTGATGAAAGTTCTTGATAATTCAAATTATCAAGTTATCAGTGAGAACAGCTTCAGGAATCTAAGGATATTCATTCTAATATATGGCAGATTCCCAGGCTGTGAAAGCACAAACATCTCATCTCCAGACTTTTTATGTTGTTTATGTTTAAAATATCAATGCACAGGCCTGGGAGTGTGGCTCAGTGGTAGAGTGCTTGCTCAGTGCTCAAGAGACACAGGGCTGCAATCCCTAGTACTGCCAAAAAATTACTGCATGGTTTTGGATTTTAACTTTATTAATGCATAACAGCCTTCAGCAGTGTAACACAAACATAAGCCACAGGCCACACTGTTCTCTTCCTCATAGAATAGTCCAAGTATCACTGGGTAACAGGCAGTGTCACGTAAGTCAGGGCACTGCCTATTCAAAAGAACCACAAGGAAAAAAAGCTACCCGAAGTTAATCATTAATTGTGGTTCCCAACTTCATATACTTAACTGAAAATTCTTGCAAGAGGAAAAAAGGAATTCAATTGGAACAAAAGTATTTTTAATAGTGCCTCAAGCATAAATATGAAGAGAATATAAAACTTGACTGAACACAGAACTAAATGTTTTTCATTCTATATTATCACTAAGTGGCTATCAGTGGAAGAGAAAAGGAGACTTTCTTGAGTAAAAACAAATAAAGAAAATTGAAAGGTAAAATTAGAAAGAGGACAGCAGAAGAAAAGAAAAGACAAGCAAATGGAGACGACAACAAAGGGAGGCACAGGCCAAAGGAAGAGACATGTCTGAGGAACATAGAGAGGGGAAAAGGAAACCAGACAGAACAGGAACGCAGAGGCTATGAGACAAGGGTCAGAGACAACACTGGGTGATTTCCCTTACACCACGGCTTTACCATCTATTTTACCATTTCTCAACTTCTGAAATATTAACTGACAGACCCATCATGCTCACAGCTACTCTGAATCTTACAAGCTCCTCAGCTGGTAAATTAATTCTGATCAGGTTGCCCTACTGCACACTCAAAGTAGAGGATTAATGTGCCCAAGTAATTGTCTAGAAACTCATGATAGGAGTCCTAAGCTTCACCTAAGAAAGTCACCGTGTTTGAAGGTACAAAATAAGATTATTTCTGTCAAGCTATAATCACACATTGCCGAGTTGGTGACTGTGGTCAAAGTGAGGATACTAAACAGGTTGAGTTTGTTTGGTGTGTGTGTGTTTTGGTTTTTGTTTGTTTTTTGAGACAGGGTTTCACTATGTAGTTCAGGCTGGCCTTGAACTCACTGTGATCCTCCTGCCTCAGCCTCCCGAGTGCTGGGATTACAGACATGCACCACCATGCCCAGCTATCTGAGCCAAAGTTCTGTTGACCAATTTGAAAAATTAACAGTTACTATCAATTGAAATTAAACTGCTATTGATTGAAATTAAATTGCTTAGCTTATTTATCACATAAATAGGGGATCTCAATAAAATTCTGATTATCTTAATTCTTTTTAGTATTGAGGTTAGCATGTTCTAGTTCTTCCCCTCAGTTCAAAGGAAACTTTTTAAAGTGGCATTTAAGAGAAATACCCATAAAAACATTTCACTGAAGAAAATAAAACTGACCTACAAGACAACACATTACAATAACTGAACAAGTTTCTACTTGTTAAATTTGAAATAACAGATTTCCTTTTTTTCTAGTTCATGTTCTTTTTCTATTGATATACGTTTGTGATATAATTACATAATTTAAGTGAAATAAATCAGATACACAAACTTAAATATCACATGGTTTCTCTTACATGAGAAATCCAAATTATAAATAAAGAGCAAAATAAAAGAAAGATAATAGGAAGTAGGGAGATCCTTTTCAAACACAAAGTGGAACAAGAGATGGAGGAGGGGAAGGGGATTTTAAAAAGAACTGGAAAAAGTGGAGACAGAGCTTTTGCAAACGGGAAGGAACAGGGAGGGAAGGGTGTGATAGGGAACAAAAAAAGAACTAAGATGTGTGATGTCCATGTACCAACTCCCCACAGTAAACGTGATTATTCTATACTGCAAAAGTGTCTTAAAAAATAAAACAATTACATTCATGTGGGGAAGTGATACATGCAGGTACTGCATCCTCATCATCTACTTTCCCTTTCCCTCCTCACCTTCCCCTTCCTCAGAGTCCCTTCTCATCACCATGAAGTCCATCTCTCTGGTTCTATCATTTCATCTCTTTTATTTTCTTTATATATATTGGGAGTTTCTCAAATAAGAGAAATCATGTAATATTTAGCTTTCTGTATCTAATTTATTTTACTTAGTATCATGGTCTCAAGATTCATGCATTTTCCTATGGAAATCAGTATAGAGATTCCACAAAAAACTATAAATAGAAATTCCATTGAACCAGCTATACCTTTTCTAGGTATTTTCTCCAAAGAATCAAAGACATCTTTTCACAGTGATACATGCATACCCGTGTATATACGTACTAGTACAAGTTATGTTAGCTAAATTATGGAAGCAGCCTATAAGTCCATCAACAGACGAATGGATAAAGAAAATGTGGTATATACACAGTGGAGTACCACTCAGTCATAAAGAATAAATTTGAATCATTTGTAGGAAAATGGATGGATCTTGAAATGGCATTCCTTCACTGATTTTAAAGCTGACCAACAGTAAGGAGACTCAACCATGTTAGCTTATAAATATTCAAGAAGAAACAGGTAAGTTAACTTACAAGCATGACATCAAAGAACTATCTGGAAAAAAAATTATCTAAAAGAAATAATTACCATGGACGAAGCAATTCTAAAGCATCTGTAAATTTGTTACTTAGAAATAAGTTCAATGCCACTGCGCATTCTTCTAGACCACTCTTGAGATCCACCTTGGTTGATGATGAACTAAAGATCAAGAAAAAAAATACAAAGAATTGTTATAACTTTCACTATTAGCACACTGTCCAAGGGAGCATGTATGTGGACTCTGGAGAAAGAAGCTGTAATTCTAAATTTGCCACTCTCTAAAGGAGGGGCTAAGGTAAGTTTCCTGCACCCACCCTGTGAAGGTCTGATCATCTGTCTATAAAAGTCAGCTATGAAAGCCAGGTGCAGAGGCACACGCCTGTAATTCCAGCTACTCTGGAGGCTGAGGCAGTAGGACTATAGTTCAAGGCCAGCAAGGGTAATTTAGTGAGACTCTATCTCAAAATAAAATGTAAAAAGGGCTAAGGATATGTACCTCAGTGGTTGAGTCCCCCTGGGTTCAATCCCCAGTACCTTAAAAAAAAAAAGTACGCTGTCACTTGATTCATTCATCCTGTTTCATTCCCACCTCTCATGTGTGGCCTAGCGTCTGCAGACCAGCTTCTCCTGCTGCCCCGCAAATCTGTCACTAGAATTCATTCAACTAATTCTTATGGACCACATGCCAGGCACCTGTCCGGGTGCTGGCCACACAGCAACAAACAAGCTGCACTGAATCCCAGGCTCATGAAGAAAGGAGAGCAGACATACACAATAGGCCAGTGACTAAGACTCTCAGACTGGGGTGAGAACTCTGAGATAGAGTCTGAGGTGGGGAGCAGCGGCAGGGATCTGAAGAGAAGACCAACATGACCAAGGACAATCACAGAAAGCTTTCTCAGAAGGTGACATATGAGTGCTGTGCATGGAGTCAGCTGTGGGAATTTCTAGGTTAGGAGCAGAGGGGTTCCAATTACAAAATGGCAGGCGAGGCAGAGTGGGGAAAATGAGGGCTGAAAACAGGCAAAAGCCATGACAGTAGAGAGGATGGGTTTGTTCTAAGGATAGGAGGAAGTACTACACGTTGCTGCAGAAGTCTCCACTCCCTTTCTAACCACTCCTCTCTGACTCTCAGGGTTTTTCCAGTCTTACCTCTCACCTGATCTCTATCTTCATTCCCACCATCTCTCCCTAAGGTTACACCATATCCTGTCACCAGGAAATAGGCTGTGAGCAGATGCTGGCGCCCTTGCCAGCCACACCACCACCCCTGCACCTCAGCTGGCCGCACTGTCATTGGGGGACACATCACACCTGTCCCAGCTCAGAGGGCCTAACTCCAAACATGTCAACCTCAGTCCTTCTAAGTGCTTCACTAAGAAACAGCCACCTCCACCACCAGTGTTTTGCACCCTTAATCTTGTACAGGACTTCTCTCAGACACCTCTCAGAGACATCTGTTCCTCTCCATTTCCACAGTCGTCACATGAATTAATGTGATTCATGCCAGGTCTGAATTCTGAATACTCCCCAAGAAGGTTTTCCTCACTCCTACTGCTTGGCGTCCATGGTCCTCAAATTCAGGTACAGCAGACTCACCTGCAGGGCTAAAACAAACTGCTAGGCCACACCCTCAAAGTGTCTGACTCAGGCCTGATATGGGCCCAGGTCACCAGATGATACTGATTCTGCTTTCATTCATCCTGGAGACTGGGACGGATTAAACAAGGAAACAGATGTTTGTGATACTGCTTCCTTTTGTGAACACCTGCCACATAAGTACAAACTGCTCTGCCCGGCTTCCAGGCCTGGAAATCTGGTCACACCACACCTGTCCAACCAGCCTGTCCTGGAGTGATGAAGAAAGCTATTTAAAACTGCAAGAGACTCACTAATGTGGCATCCCCCTCGAGACTCAAGTGATGCAGTGAAAAGATCCTGGATTAGAAATCTGAAGTCAACGCTGCCTTTCTCCAGAGTCCTCAATCTCCTGGGTCCCTTGCCCTGTCTCTGAAAAGCTCCAATGCTCTCCCACTTGACAACTTGTATAAGAGAAACAAAGGCAATGGTTGCTATGAGCATGTTGTGTGACCATTCTTCTACGCAAAGTAACAACCATGCCAATTTTCCAAAAGCCATGGACACAGGCCACACACATTCCAGGCCTACTGGAGCCTGCTCAAGTGCCTTTCTTTCTTTTTTTTTTTTTTTGGTACCGGGGATCGAAGTCAGGACCTTGCACTTGTGAGACAGGTGCAGTGCCACTGAGCTAAATCCCCGGCCCCCAAGTGCCTTTCTTAATATCCATGCTCAGTGAAGTGAGACTCTCCATTTCTAATTTAGAAGACACAATAATGTAAGGCAGATTTTAGTCTTATTTTTAAAAAGACACAAAACTAGCTGGGCATGATGGTGCACGGCTATAACCCTAGCACTCTGGGAGGCTGAGAAGAATTGAAGTTTGAACCCAACCTGAGCAACTTAGTCACTTAGTGAGACCCTGTCTCAAATTTTTAAAAAAATTTTAAGGGGTTGGGCTATAGCTCAGCAGGAAAGCCTTGGGTACAATACCCTGTACCAAAACCCTGTACAAAAAACTATCCATAACATAAAAATTTGGCACTATGGGACAATGCTACTCTTACATTCCAATTCCACTTCTTCTCTTATTAATAACTTAATAAGCTTGGTTGAAAAAAAAAATACAATTACTGAGTAGATAATAAGGATGTGGGCTCTGGCCACCAGATCATTCTATCCACTTCCTGACTTCACTCCTAAGCAAAAGTGGCCATAGCAAGCCATTTTTCTTTCCTAGTACTGCTTCCTTATCTGTAAATGGATCTAGTAAAAGGGTCCACATCACAGGCTGTACTATCAATACACAAATGTACTTAGTGTCTGAGATACAAAGTTTCCAGTAATGCTGACTATTTATTGCCACCATCTTGCAAATGTTCTAAATAGCTTTCCATGATTCAGTGGTGTCAGGTATATAACAATTAAAGGAATTTAGTAAACTGTTCATTTATCTAATCAATTAGTATACTACCAGACAAGTTGGCAATGTTCACTGTGGGGACAGAATAAATGTCAAGATGGAAGAGAGAATGAATAAAAATAAGCACAGAAAATCTGAAGCAGTATTTTCTTGTTTTTTTTTGATAACGGGGATCGAACTCGGATCCTTGTGCTTGCGGGGGGAGGTGGCCGAACCACTGAGCTAAATCCCCGGCCCTGAACCAGTATTTTCTAAAGAGTTGTTCTTATGAAAACCTCCAACAGAAGTAGAAAACCTAGTCATCCGGCACATATTAAGTTATGTTCCCTATCAAAGAATCAACATGTCAGAATTTTGTTTACGAAAATTTGAAAATGCAAATGTGGGTGGGGAATAATTATGGACCAGGAAAGCAGAAAGCAGACAAGGATGCTAGGCTCAGCACATCCAGAGACACTTTCCACATTCCACAGGACTCCAAGAGCCCCTTTGCCTCAAGAGCTGCAATCAGAGATTTCCATTAATGTACTGGAGTCCACTGAAATTGTGGTCCTCCATATCCAAATCAGAGACTCCCAGTGCTACTTTCAATTACTTTCTGGGTATTTTGTCTCCACCCTCTGAGAACCACAATTTGTAGGGACCTATGCTGGGTAGGAGAAGCTGGATAGACAGTGGACAGTCAGAGTAAGCGTGAGCATATGAAGGGGGCCTGCGCTAATGGTAACAAGGGGGAACTTAGCAACTTAGGCTTCCCAGTTTCTTTGGAACTTCATTTCCTTATAAAGGCTCCATGTCATATAACACATGTTAAATGAACTTGTATATATTTCTCTTGTTAATCTGTCTTTTATTACAGGTGCTTCAGTCATGACCCTAGCTATGGGTGAGAAAGGAATTTTTCCTGTCCTACCTTCACAGCCATGAGAGAGAAGCACTTCCTCTATGCCCAGCTTTCCTCACTAGGGGCTGCGCTGGATTGACAGTACTGGATCCCCTCCCCTCCCCTCCCCTTCCCTCCTCTTCTCTCCTCTTCTCTCCTCTTCTCTCCTCTTCTCTCCTCTTCTCTACTCTATGTTCCTCCCCTGAGTAAGGAGGGAGCTATCTGATGACTTGCAAAGGAAATCTGGGCATGCATCACTGGTGCCTCTTGTTTTGAGGCTTTCAGCATCTTTGAGCAGCTACCTGTTTCTGGTTCCCCAGCATACAGACTGCCAGCTTGGAACCCGTCAGCCTCTGACCATAACAACATGATCTTTTGGAAGTGAGAGGCTGAATACTATAATTTGGATGTCGTGTTTCCCATAAAGAGCCATGTATGTATTAAAGGATTGGTTCTTAGGATGGCACTGTTGGGAGAAGGCGGGACTTTTTAAAGATTGGACCTAGTGATGACCACTTCTTCTCACATGTGTTATCACCATGGTGTCATCTCCTATGGAACCTTCACCAGAGCTTAGCCAAGACCAGTGCAATGCCCTTCAACTTCCAGAACTATTCTGGAATCAAGATATCTGGAAAATACCAATTTAATAAAGAGGGAAAAAATAAAGAAGTATATTTCCGAGAATTGGTAGGAAGCTGATAAGAAAACTAAAACTACACAGAAGCTGGAGAAATGGAGCACACAACACAAAGAAAAGAATGAAGTCTGGAAAGCTCACCCCAGCTTCCAGGAAAGGGGACCTGTCTCTGCTGACACAAGAACCAGGTGCTGGGCTAATTGCACTGTACCTTCCCCTCCCAAACTAAAATAGGTTGTCAGATCTTGGAACAGAGGTAAAGGCCTACAGTTAGCTAGCTATGCCCAGAGGAAACCACTGAAAAGCAGACATTAAATAAAGAGACTTCCAGACTAGCAACAACATTTTCCCACTATAACTGACATGCAAACCTCCATACAAGAAAAAATAAAATAGAAGCATGATAAGACAAGGCAATAAAATGCCCCCAAAACTACCAACTCCCCCAAAGCTGACTAATGGAGCAACAAAATGGAGGAAATAAAAAGCCAAACAATTGAATTATACAAAATGATATGAAAAGAGACAAAAGAAGATCAATAAGGTTCTCACCAAGCTCAAAGATATAACTAAACAGATACTGAACATAATAAAAAAATGATCAATGAGCATACAGACGACACTAATAAAAAGCT